CATGAGAGGACAGAGTCACAGAGACCGAGCGATTGCAGAGTTTGAAGGAGGACAGCATGATCAACGGTGTCAAAGGCAGCAGAGAGGTCAAGAATAATTAATATGGAGTTGTGGCCTTTGGATTTACCTGCGATTAGGTCATTAGTAACTTTGATAAGGGCAGTCTCAGTAGAGTGGAGAGGGCGGAAGCCAGACTGAAGAGGGTCAAGGAGAGAGTTGGAATTGAGGAAGCGAGACACACGGGTAAAGACAAGTCTTTCCAGAAGCTTTGAGGAAAAGGGAGCAGGGATATGGGATGCTAGTTAGAGGGGGAGGATGGGTCGAGAGATGTTTTTTTCAGGATAGGTACAGTGGCATGTTTAAGGTCAGCAGTGACAAAGCCAGAAGAGAAAGAGCAGTTGAAGATGTGTGTTAGGGAAGGCACAAGACAAGGGGAGAGAGATCTAATGAGGTGAGATGGGACAGGATCGAGCGGGCAAGTGGTGGGGTGAGAGGAAAGGAGAAGCGCAGCCACCTCTTGGTCAGTAGCTGAGGAGAAAGTCTGAAGGGTAGGAAAGGCATGATCTACGTGTGGTTGAGAGAGAGAACGGCAAGGTGGGGAGAATTCTTTCCTTAGCTGTTTAGTCTTGTCGGTAAAGTAGCATGCAAAGCTATCGGCTGTAAGGTTAGTTTGGGGGTGGCAACAGCAGGGCGGAGAAGAGAGTTAAAGGTGTCAAAAAGACGCCAGGGATTGCGGGAGCATGAACTAATGAGAGAGGAAAGGTATGACTGTTTGGAGAGGGCAAGGGCTGCGCTGTATGAAAACAATATAAATCTATAATGAAGATAGTCTGCCTATCCCTTGCGGGGATAACTCCACATCTAGTGGCTGTCTACCAGACAGCTACTAGAGGCGCTTCCGGGTGGTTAGGCGACTTTTGGTCGCCTAACTGATGCTGGACATCCTCACACTCGGCATGAATACATCAGCGTCAATTTCCTATGAGGTTGTCCTAATGCAAGAGCAGCACTCAACGCACATGTGCTTTAGGTCCCCAACGTCAGTCGATGTCGGGGAAGGACGAGAGAAGGTGGAGCCTTACCCAGCACCTATCGACTACAGCGCTTGATTCAGGTAAGTGACAAAAGGGTTTTTAACTCTTTGTGAAAGCGAGGGGGGCACTATAAGCTAGGAATACAATTTTGCATTTCTAGCCTATAGTTTCCCTTGAATCATGCATTACTAAGAGAGGGTGGTATACATACATAATGAAGTACAGGAGTGTGTGTCATCAGAATAATGCTGACCAGGTATATTATAGACATTGGGGGGAACAGGAGGTGAGCAGGATAATGGAGAAAATCACAGTTGGCGGGAGGGTATAGTGTGAAGGAAACTAAGAAAATACAACTACGACAAGAAGATGTCAGTACAATAGGTATCGTGAGAGTATCCCAAATATAGTGTTTTTACCCCTATGAACCCTGACCCTATAGTGTCCCTTTAAATTTAAAATTCACTTTGAATTCTCAAAGAAAAGATCTTGTTGACTGTGTAGGAATCTCTTTTCATCTAACTGGCAGGCTTCTTTGTAGACAGGTATCTAAGAATGATTATGTCTGCCAGTCAGACAGAAAGGTGTTGAGGAGTTCTGAATAGCAGCACGAGTGTGGCGGCATCCTGTGTCTTTACAAGTACAGAATTAAACGTTTCAAGCATCATCAACAGTTGCTTTAGGAAAGCAGTTTCCAAATTCCCTGCCACTGCTGATTGGAGCTCCCTAGTGTTTGTCGTCATGGAAACATGTTCTGACCACATTACTTTGTATGGCTACATATGATCCATATCCTAATTAGAAAATATTACCATTTTTACCTTTATATTTGAAAAGGCTCTGTGCTAAAAAAACCAAGGGAAAATAAATGTAAAAATAAAATCTGCAACTGAATATTAACTCCACGAGAGCAAAACAGTAGAATGCGAATATTGAAAATTCCCAACACTCTAATTCTCTTTTTACAGTTTGGCCATTTAGGCCAAAATGTCCATTTTATCTCGTCACTTCTCTATAAATCATAGTTTAGTAAATAACCTGAAATGTGAAATAAATGACGTAATATTTATTTTAAATATTAAGATAGTTTGACTAAATAATGAATGATGTTTAAGAAAATACCCTGGAGTGTGCTGGATCTTGTGTGTTGTATGAATCAGCACCAGTAGCATGTTTTTTTCCCTTACTTGATGGCGATGCAGTTTATTTAGATGGCAGTGGCAATGCAGTGTTTTAAGATGACAGTGCTGATAGATAGCAATGCAGTGTAATTAGGTGATAGTGCAGTGCTGATAGATAGCAATGCAGTGTAGTTAGGTGATAGTGCAGTGCTGATAGATAGTGATGCAGTGTAGTTAGAGGGCAGTGCAGTGCTGATAGATGGTAGTGCAGTGCTGATAGATAGCAAATGCAGTTTATTTAGATGGCAATGGAGTGTTGATATATGTCAGTGTAGTTAGATGGTGATGCAGTGCGGATAGATGGCGATGCAGTGTAGTTAGATGATAGTGCAGTGCTGATAGATGGTGATGCAGTGTAGTTAGATGACAGTGCAGTGCTGATAGATGGTGATGCAGTGTAGTTAGAGGGCAGTGCAGTGCTGATAGATAGCAATGCAGTTTAATTAGATGGCAATGCAGTGTTGATATATGTCAGTGTAGTTAGATGGTGATGCAGTGTAGTTAGGTGATAGTGCAGTGCTGACAGATAGCAATGCAGTGTAGTTAGATTGCAGTGCTGATAGATGGTGATGCAGTGTAGTTAGATTGCAGTGCTGATAGATGGTGATGCAGTGTATTTAGATGATAGTGCAGTGCTGATAGCAGTGTGTAGCGGAGAGCTGGTATTTCACAGGTTAGTGCTGATAGATAGCGATGCAGTTTAGAGGGCAGTGCAGTGCTGATAGATGGCAGTGCTGTGCTGATAGATAGCAATGCAGTTTATTTAGATGGCAATGCAGTGTTGATATATGTCAGTGTAGTTAGATGGTGATGCAGTGTAGTTAGATGATAGTGCAGTGCTGATAGATGGTGATGCAGTGTAGTTAGATGACAGTGCAGTGCTGATAGATGGTGATGCAGTGTAGTTGGAGGGCAGTGCAGTGCTGATAGATAGCAATGCAGTTTATTTAGATGGCAATGCAGTGTTGATATATGTCAGTGTAGTTAGATGGTGATGCAGTGTAGTTAGGTGATAGTGCAGTGCTGACAGATAGCAATGCAGTGTAGTTAGATTGCAGTGCTGATAGATGGTGATGCAGTGTAGTTAGATTGCAGTGCTGATAGATGGTGATGCAGTGTAGTTAGATGATAGTGCAGTGCTGTTAGCTGGTGATGCAGTGTAGTTAGATGATAGTGCAGTGCTGATAGATGGTGATGCAGTGTAGTTAGATGACAGTGCAGTGCTGATAGATGGTGATGCAGTGTAGTTAGATGACAGTGCAGTGCTGATAGATGGCGATGCAGTGTAGTTAGAGGACAAAGCACACACTGCACTGATTGCCAATTACGGGTTTGCAACATTGTTGCGAACGGTAATTGGAGGCACACTTATTCCTGTGGTGGTCTGATTGTTCGGTAGTTTCACTCGTATAATACCGAACAATCAGTCGAATGCTGCATACAATACACATTCATACGGCAAAAATTAAATGAAAGCATATTACAACACATAATTTTGTGGACAGCCCAATGCCATCCGCTACACAGTGTAGTTAGATGGCAGTGCAGTGCTGATAGATGGCGATGCAGTGTAGTTAGATGATAGCGCAGTGTAGTTAGATGACAGTACAGTGCTGATAGATGGTGATGCAGTGTAGTTAGATGGCAGTGCAGTGCTGATAGATGGTGATGCAGTGTAGTTAGATGGCAGTGCAGTGCTGATAGATGGTGATGCAGTGTAGTTAGATGATAGTGCTGATAGATGGTGATGCAGTGTAGTTAGATGACAGTGCAGTGCTGATAGATGGTTATGCAGTGTAGTTAGATGACAGTGCAGTGCTGATAGATGTGATGAAGTGTAGTAAGATGAAAGTGCAATGTAGTTAGATGGTGACGCAGTGTAGTTAGATGGCGGTGCAGTGTAGTTAGATGGCGATGCAGTGTAGTTAGATGGCGGTGCAGTGTAGTTAGATGGCAGTGCAGTGTAGTTAGATGGCGATGCAGTGTAGTTAGATGGCAGTGCAGTGTAGTTAGATGGCGATGCAGTGCAGTTAGATGCAGTGCAGTGTAGTTAGATGGTGATGCAGTGTAGTTAGATGGCAGTGCAGTGTAGTTAGATGGCGATGCAGTGTAGTTAGATGGCAGTGCAGTGTAGTTAGATGGCGATGCAGTGTAGTTAGATGGCAGTGCAGTGTAGTTAGATGGCGATGCAGTGCAGTGTAGTTAGATGGTGATGCAGTGTAGTTAGATGGCAGTGCAGTGTAGTTAGATGGTGATGCAGTGTAGTTAGATGGCAGTGCAGTGTAGTTAGATGGCGATGCAGTGTAGTTAGATGGCGATGCAGTGCTGATAGATGGCGGTGCAGTGTAGTTAGATGGCGGTGCAGTGTAGTTAGATGGCGGTGCAGTGCTGATAGATGGTGGTGCAGTGTAGTTAGATGGCGATGCAGTGTAGTTAGATGGCGGTGCAGTTTAGTTAGATGGCGATGCAGTGTAGTTAGATGGTGGTGCAGTGTAGTTAGATGGCGATGCAGTGCTGATAGATGGCGGTGCAGTGTAGTTAGATGGCGATGCAGTGTAGTTAGATGGCGGTGCAGTGTAGTTAGATGGCGATGCAGTGCTGATAGATGGCGGTGCAGTGTAGTTAGATGGCAGTGCAGTGTAGTTAGATGGTGATGCAGTGCAGTTAGATGGCAGTGCAGTGTAGTTAAATGGCAGTGCAGTGTTACTATTATAGCAATGCAATGCACTGTAACCAGATCAGCCATAGTCTGGGCGGGTCCCTCTCCCCCCTCCCACACGGCCCCCTCCTCCCTCCCAGCTCCCTGGCTGTGGCCGCCCTGCCTGGCCGCTGAGGCTGTGAGTGCTGTCCCCGTGTTTAGGTGGATCCGGCCTTTTACTGCAGAGACCCCCAGGGACCCCCACTGACTGCATGATGGCTGCCCGTGCCTCGCCCTTACTGCTGAGCCTGGCTCTGCTCACTGTTTGTTGGAAAGGTAAGAGCAACATGGTATGGCTGTGTGTGATGGGCTCAGTGTCCTGTATTGGCTGTGTGTGATGGGCTTAGTGCCCTGTATTGGCTGTGGGTTATGGGCTCAGTGTCCTGTATTGGCTGTGGGTGATGGGCTCAGTGTCCTGTATTGGCTGTGTGTGATGGGCTTAGTGCCCTGTATTGGCTGTGTGTGATGGGCTCAGTGTTCTGTATTGGCTGTGGGTGATGGGCTCAGTGCCCTGTATTGGCTGTGGGTTATGGGCTCAATGTCCTGTATTGGCTGTGGGTGATGGGCTTAGTGTCCTGTATTGGCTGTGGATGATGGGCTCAGTGTCCCGTATTGGCTGTGTGTGCTGGGCTCAGTGTCCTGTATTGGCTGTGGGTGATGGGCTCAGTGTCCTGTGTTGGCTGTGGGTGATGGGCTCAGTGTCCTGTGTTTGCTGTGGGTGATGGGCTCAGTGTCCTGTGTTGGCTGTGTGTGATGGGCTCAGTGCCCTGTGTTGGCTGTGGGTGATGGTCTCAGTGCCCTATATCCCCCTAATTACATTTTGGAAGCAAGCTGCATACTCATAGGGCTTTCTCTGTCTTCTAGTGATGGCTAAGCTTCATTGGAACTGTAGTCCACAGCAGCTGTAGTGCAAAGGACAGCAATCACTGCACTGTAAATAGTATTCATCCATTACCATGTCTGGCTGAGATTAATGGGGAGGGTATTGGAGTACTATATATTAACAATTACCGCTCTATGCTCATTATTACAATTGTTGGCTAAGAATGATAGGGATGGTATGCCACAGCAGAGTGTAAAATGGCAGCAATCACTTCTCTGTTATCGGGATTACCAGCTATTATCATGTCTGGCTGAGAGTTATTTGGACAGTATTGCTCGGCATTAGGAATTTCAAATGGCAGCAATCTATTTATAGTACAGTATTACCTATATGATCATGACTGCCTGAGAATCATGGGGAAGACATTCCACAACATTTTGAGAGCCAGATGGCAGCAATCCCCGCTCTATGCACAGTGTTGCTCAGTATCTGTTGGCTATATGTTTATATTAACATACACAATATTTGGAAACCACAGTTCTAGTGTTTTAAAACAGTGAAATCCTGTCTTAGTCATTTATTAATTTGTATCTTTTTATGTATTTTTTTTTTTTTGTTCTTAAAACACTGAATTGTAGTAAACGGAAAAACCCGAATGTAAAAAGAATTTTACTGATGCCTAAAATTAGCAGATTATTTTTCTATTTGCTACAACATTCTATTTAGTAATTGTCCAAAAACCGCAGGGAATGATGTCTTGATTCCAGTTTCTCCAACTTTGAAATATGTCTCTCTCTCTGTTTTTGAATTAAAGTTCAATGCTTCTTACCTGTTATTCTCACTAAACCATTACATTTGACAAATTCTAACATTGAAATTAAAAGGGAGATTTTTGTTTTTCCAGCTCGACTATTTGGGGTTAATTGTTCGCTTATCATTTATTGGATAACTAACAGCACAGACATTGGCAGTAGTCCTATTGTGTTTCCTATCTTTTATTTATAAAACACATTTTGGCTTACTAAGCCTTAAGTAACTGCAATATTTAACTGGTCCATATAAACCATAATGGATACACTACTCTGGCAAGGTGATTGACGGGGGCATGACATGAGAAGTAGGATTCAACTGGTTCATTCTTGGTTTAAAAGGCTCACGTGTCTGTACCTAAGGCCTAGAGATGAATCTGCAGATTTAGATCTGTGGGGGCAAAATGGAAGTTTACACCAACCTAATGAAGCTAGTGCCATCCTTGAGCTAAACTTTAGGATACAGGGCTAAATGACCCTGCTTCTTTAAAATATCTGTAACACCTGGCATGGCTTAGCCATTTTCCGCATTCCAGCATAACTATCTTGGCCAAAATATGCTATTCGCTGGTTTAATAAGTGATTGTTATATTAGTTAGTTGACGTCCGTATGCTTATTTAGCCAATTTACATTGAAAGAGTTACCATGACCATGTCACTTGAGTAAAGTGGTCACGGTGCCTGGAGTCTGTATGTGAAGCATTTTGCTATAAAACACTGCACATACAGCGTTTAACCCTTCTGGTGCCAGACGTGTGGTTATGGTGCCAGGAGGGCCCTAATACTTGCTTAACTTTGGGGGTTTAAACCATTAACAAATGGTTTAACCCCAAAGTGTTGAATCCACGGTCGGTTAACTGCTAGTACTTTTGACTGAAGCTTGGATCAGGAAGCCTCAGACAAGGCAACCTCTGATTGGCTGAGAGCATCGCTATCTAAGCCAATCAATAGCTCCCCTTTCACAAACTGGCTTAAAATAAATACATATGTACAGATAGGTTAAATGCTACTTAAAATGTATATTTCATGAGCCATTTACATGTGAGCTGTTAAATGCTACTTTGGATTTTAGATTATTCAATGGTATAACTGTGCACGTCAATTACCTGCCCCACGCGCCCCCCCCCCAAAAAAAATTAACAAAAATTAATTAAACTAACTTGGTTATTGGCCGCTCTTACATATCACTGCTAGTGAATGAGGTTATAGTATGCCGTTTAACAACCCAGTGGGTGAAATCTTTTGGGAGGAACAAACAATTTGTATGTGTTGTGTTTTACAATATGCAGGAATTTTGTGCTGTCAACATTTCTGTTGGTTTAGTTCACTGCAACAGATAGCTAATCCTTCATCTGAAAGGAATTGGGATTACTGAGCGACCCGTATCAAACTATTTATCTTCTGTTGTGATTATGTTATTAAGATCAGATCTCAGCATGTGGCGGGTATATGATCTGGATTGCGTTAACACGTTTGAAATAACCATGTACTTTCACAAGAGAAAGCGATTATCAGATGATTTCATTTGAAGACCTTGGTAGTTATTGATATCAAATAGTAAAAAGTTACAAACTATTAACTTATATTATTCAGAAATATATTTGCACTTAAACCATATATTTTAATTCAGACATATTGTTTAAAGCTATCTGATGATTTCCATGTTCTTTCATAAACACTCTACAAGTTGGTCCAATACTTTTTATATGTAAGGACCACCAGTATGATTGACACTGTCCGCTATAATTTATTCTAAAAAGAGAACTGTTGTTTCTCTGCAATTTACGCCATTGAAATCACCTGAAACATGTTGGCCTTTTTCCAGACATGTTTCATTTTCTTTAAAATATCTTAGATTTAGCAATTGACAACTTTGATCCATTTTACACAAGACAAAGACAGGGCAAACCTGTGGAGGAGGAGAAATAGACACTGTTTCATTTCTTTTCTTTTATGTATGCTTCCTCTATGCACCCATACATGTTTGTATTCCTGACACTATAGTGTTTCTTTAAGCCACAAAGCTGATGGCGAAATTCTCACTGAGCTGTAGTTTCATTTATCTTGACATTTTATATCCGGTTTTCAATGACCACAAATCATTGCTTTGTGTGTAAAAAAACAACAAAAAAAAAAACAAACAAAAAAAAAACAACCTCACTGTACGTTTTATATTTGTTTCATATAGAGCGAGCATTGCACTTAATGGAACACTCTTGGCACCATTACGAATTTAATCTAAATGATGTTGTTATGGTTTCTGAAAGTCCTGAGCGCTTATTTCCTTAAAGGGAACCTGTCACAGCCTTGCCTTACCCTCTGCTCCCGCGGCTCTTTGTCCCACCTCTGGTACTCCGTTGCTCCTTTCACAGTCATTTTCAATTTGTTTCCCTAAGCAGTGCAAACCTACTCGATGACGCCGACATGTTGGCTTCATTGCTAGAATGCCGGTGACTAAATGTCACTCCATTCCTATACTCCCTAGCCAATACTAGTAGCATATGGTTTAGGGTTACCATGGCAACTGGTGATTGTGATTTCCATGCTTAGAGAGCAGAACAACCACCAGTGTTCTCCTGCTCTCTTTTCTTAATTAGTTCTTTGGCATCGAGTCTGGGCCAAATAATTGACAGGTGGGTTCCTTTTAAGGTTTAAACTGTTTATAAAGTGTAATTTTAAGACGATTTTATTGAAATTTTTAATAGGATATCTGTACAATTACAATTCCCCTACTTACACTGATCTCATACTGTTTTAATTTATCAAAGATTTTATGGTAAAATATGATTTTTACGAGAATATCCCATTTACTGTATTTTGAATAATTCCTCAATATGTTCAGACGTGGACGGTTTAAATCTGTGTGTACTGAATACCGTTGGATACAGTTATGTCATTAGCAATACGTTTACTAAGTTTCAATACGTTAAGGAATAATGTGCAATATGTTAGGATACGTAAAGTTTTAAAATGTATCGAGTGTAATACCAGAAATGTTGTTACATGCTAATATACTGTTTACGAACAAGGAGAAGGAAACATCAACATTTTTATCAACTTTTAATGTTGAATGAATTAATAAGACACTGTGACTTTAAATCTAAGATATTGGGATAACGATATGAATCCTATATATACCACTACCGATCGCCGCCTCCTATCTTGACCAAGCCCACAGGAAGCGGGCAAAACACGTTGAAGGAGAGCGGCATCCAGAGCCTCTAGGCAAACACAGGGGTGTGCAGTGCGGACGTCCTTCCGTTTTGTGGGAGTTCCATCCCGGTCTGTGTGCAGAGACGACCATCAGACGGAGTGGTAACATCTGCACAATATTGTTACATTGCTGTTTGTGTAGTTATTGGAAACCGTACCACATTGATTTTATGTAAGAGTTCCATTTGGGGGATTATTTATTTATTTATTTATTTTTAAATTATTATTATTAATTGCGCAATATTACTCTGTGTGTGCATTTTTTATCCTTTGAAAGGTATCGATATACTTGGACAAGCTACCATTCGGATACTTTTGGAGTAAATGACGTATATCCCCATCCTCCTAGATTTATACTGCACTGTATTGAATGCGAACTGGGACTCTATAGATATAAGGTCAAATATACACAGTTTGTTGTACCCCAAACTATTTGTCTAAGGGGATTATTTGCTAAGAGCTTGCACTTTTTCCGTATACATTATAACCTTCCATAGGTTTATTGATTTCAGAGCTGAACATATTGCAGTGGTAAATTTGCATATAATGCATATTATACATTCTCACACTTTTCGCGTATTACACTTTCTTTAAGAAAAATAATCAAAGTAAAGTCACCCCAAAAAAATTATAAATGGAAACAGGCGTCATCCACTGAATATCACTCAAACGTGTCTGATAGTGACCATATACACCCTCAGTACAAGTTATATCAAAAGACATTTAGAGCCAATAAAAATGCTAAGCCCAGAGCTGATATAAGAAATAAAATAACAAAAAGGAAACATTAAACAGGTGTTAAAAAAAATTCCTTTCTACTTCAAGAACAATGTGCTCAATGCATAATCTTCTTATATGCGTAAAATATAAAAAAATCCCTCAATAGTCCATTAAAAGCCCATCATGTTATTTGTAAGTCCGCTTTTCAAATCTGCATATGTAGAAATGGATTCTGAAACGAGAAATCACAGGACCACAATCTGCAGTTTGCTTTTTATATATTTTTTTCCTTATATCCATTCTAAATAAATATTTTAGGAACTAAAGGAAAAAACTAAACAAAAAAATATATAAATATTTTTAAAAAAGTTAATAATCTTGGATAACACTATTTGAATCAGAGCTTGGCAGTAATTCATTGCTTCCTTTTTGACAAGGCTGGCATTAGTGATAAATTGCCCACCACCATCCCCTCTGGTTGCCCACCTGAGTACTTGTGGCATGGTCAAGCGGTCACTGCAATCCTTTGCCTTCCTTTTCAGCCAAAGGAACACTCTAGGCACTATAACTGCTTCATCTCATGGAGGTGGTTATAGTATCTGGTGTTCGCTGGTGCCATTCTTCTTCTATTTAGTAATAAACCATTTTCTAATGTTTAAATGCTGCTCGGGCTAATGAGGAAGCATTACCATGAAAAAAAGTGTATAATCTTAGCTATTCCTCCAGTACGTGCCTGGCTGTGGGTGACTAGGGACCCTCATTCAGTAAAGGAGGAAACTATATTTAAAAGAAGAAAAACTACCACAACAAGAGGACATAGTCTTAAATTAGAGGAACAAAGGTTTAAAAATAATATCAGGAAGTATTACTTTACTGAGAGGGTAGTGGATGCATGGAATAGCCTTCCAGCTGAAGTGGTAGAGGTTAACACAGTAAAGGAGTTTAAGCATGCGTGGGATAGGCATACCCTGTTTCCCCGAAAATACACCCTACCCCGAAAATAAGCCCTAGCCGGATTATCGGGGTGGGCTGCAATATAAGCCCTACCCCGAAAATAAGACCTAGGCATTGCACCTTTGCGGCCCGGCGAGACTTCCTTCTTCTACCGTATGAGGAGGAGGGGGAGGAGCGTTGCGGGCCGCGGCATCGCGCAACGTGATGACGACCTTTCGCAGCGCCGTCAGTCTGCCTTCACGGATCTTCAGCGGAAGGATCCATTTCCGGGCGGTGAGGCACCCAGTGGTCGGACTCGGCGGGCAAGGAATCTTTGAAATGTGAGTAGATATTTTATGTCTGGGACTGAATTAATTAAAGGGGGTGGGGTGTGTGAATTAATTAAAGGGGGGGGCTGGATTAATTAAAGTGGGGTGGATTAATTAGAGGGGGGGTGGATTAATTAAAGGGGGTGGAGAAAAGTTGTTTAAATGTTGTTCAATGTACATACCGGTACCATAAATAAATAAGCCCTACCCTGAAAATAAGCCCTAGTGTGTTTTTTGTGACTAAAATTAATATAAGACCCGGTCTTATTTTTGGAGAAACACGGTAAGGCTATCCTAACTATAAGATAAGGCTAGGGACTAATGAAAGGATTTAGAAAATTGGGCAGACTAGATGGGCCGAATGGTTCTTATCTGCCATCACATTCTATGTTTCTGTGTTTCTATGTTTCCTTGTTAAACTGATCAGAAATGGATAAACCCTGAATGGAGGGGCAGCGCCAGACACTCCAGGCACTAACCAAATCAATGATATTAAATGGTTTAATGCTTGGGTGGGCTACTGATTGATAAATGGGGGTGGTCTAAGAAGGGATAACTGGTGGTTTATAAAAATGTATATATACCTGGCTAGGTGTCATGGGAATTGCACTATACCCTTCAAACTGCCTTTGCTATCAGTTAATTGCAATTAACTTCACCGAAGCAGGGGGGCTATAAATGTGGAAGTTATATTTATATACCTTGGTATTTTAGTAATGTAGATACTGGCTCTGATAAACTTTTGGATGCATAAGGGTAGTGACTAATTTAAGTGAGAGCTAAATGTATACACCATCTCTTGTCTACCAGCATAAAATGGTTCATGTCCTATTGTCACTTCCATTTTTTACTGATTTTATTCACTATATTGGGAATCGACAAAAGAATTATATACTTTAGACTACTCTAGCGAATTTAAAATATAAAAAAATGAGTTTCACCTTTTTCCCCTCTTTCCATTTATACTTACTTTGGCCTAAAAGTATTCAAGTTGATTGCTCTCTAACTCAGCCTTCGTAACTGAGCTAGTCTCGACTTGACAACCTTAAATCATGCACCCTGCCCCAATCTGATTATCACCCTTTTCCCTCCTTGTAGTTTCAAAGCAACTGTATAATGTGTTCTATGACGGGATTAGGTTTTACATTATAAATGTCTTATGAGCCATTAATAGTCTTGGAATATAAATGTTTACTCATGCAATTACTGTATCTACAAATATTTGTTACATGCACATATGTCTCGGTGTGTAGCTCTCACTAGTCATGGTGTTATATGAACAATTATTATTGTGTTTATGTGTTGTCTATACTACACTTGTACTTTTGGTGGCACTCTGATTAATCTATGTGTTAGACACATGTTTTGTTTGATTAATAACTAGTGAATTTCTCATAATTACTTGTTATCATCATTATACGTGCTTGGGGTAACCTGGTGAGAACCATAGGTACTTTTTTTGCAATTGCCATGCGGTTCACTAAGATAAAGCTCACACTATGCTGTCTGGATTGCATTTAATCTGCACACCAGTCAAGCCATAAGACTTGCTTTTCCCACAGAAATCTCACTTTAACAGTACTCTCACTACTGCAAGGATGAAGGGGTTTTCATCCACAAGGTCTCTGACATCCACCAGCTCTATGATGTCGTCATGGAAGAGTGGAAGAGGACAAAGACGAAACGTTGCTGTTCTTTTTTGTTTCCTGAAACCTGCCTGTGGCTTTAATGCCTTGAGTGCCTGGATAATTTATTTCATAGGCTTTCTTGTAGTCAATCCAGGCCGTGCACAGATTGGTCTGTGCACGGCCTGGAGATGTGTGTATATATTTGGTCCACCACACTATATACTACTTGCCATGGTGCTCTTTCATCCAAGTAACCTAAATTTCCAAGAAGAAAGACACTTACTGGTATTATTATTCAAAGAAATAGGTCTATTTCCCAAGAACAGGTCAAATCACATCGACCTCTAATCACATATAGATGAAACCAAGAGACTGCACTCACCTGAACATGCAATAGGACCTGCCAAGAATGGGGTACATTGTCGTTGTGGCAGGCTTATGCAAGATATGATCATATACTGTAACTAAACGCTTTCATTTTTGACTAGGTGTTTTTAAATAAAACTGTTACATTCTGTGAGACTCGAAATTGCTGTTTAGTGAATGAGTGAGTGCACTAGATTTTGTATGATTGATTTTTTTATATATATATAATATATATAATATATTCTCTATTGGAACACCCAGTGGTTACAAGAGTCACTGCGTAATCCATTGGTTACACTTATTGGTTACTGTAAGGCACCTGCAATGGAGACCCATTTTACACTGGAAAGTCCAGAGAATGTTTTTTTGCAAAATGTATTTTTTTTTCACATTATACTACATTTGAAGGATGAGTCAATGAGTTTACTTTACAATTAAAGAAGCACTATAAGTTCAGGAACACAAACATGTATTCCTGACCCTATAGGGTTAAAACCACCATCTAGCTACCCTGGTCCCCCCATGCCTCCCTAAATATAGTAAATCTTACTTGTATTCAAGTGTGCAGCTACATGCTTTGTGCCTGTTTCCTTTAGACCTACCCACTGACATCATCAGAAGTGGTAGCCTGATCCAGTTACAATGCTTCCCCATAGGATTGGCTGAGCCTGACAGGCTGATCGGGGGCATAACTGGCACTATTCAAACACAGCCCTGACCAGTCAGCATCCCCTTATAGAGATGAATTCAATTAATGAATCTCTGTGAGGAAAGTTCAGTGTCTGCATGCAGATGGAGGATATACTGAATGTTTGGATGCATTTTAGGCAGCCATGACCCAGGAAGGATCTCTAACAGTTATCTGAGGAGTGGCCAGTGAAGTTATCACTAGGCTGTAATGTAAACACTGCATTTACTATGAAAAGACAGTGTTTACAGCAAAAAGCCTGAAGGTAATGATTCTACGCACCAGAACAAATGCAATAAGCTGTAGTTGTTCTGGTGACTATAGTGTCCCTTTAAAGACGGAATCTCCAAGGTGATGTCATGTATGCTTGTTTTGTAGCTTTCAAATTAGGACTCCAATGGCACCACTGCATTAGACTATTCTGAAATAGATGTTCTTGAGTATCAAGCACCATATTGATCTGTAAAAACAGGAGGCATTGTTGCTAGCTCAGTTAAAGCATCCTTTCCTTTAAGTCAAGTATATCTCCAATACCAGTCATGTCTCTGACTGTTTTTCTTCATGCTCACAGCTTCTCAATGACCCATGGAGCTTCAATTAGTATAGGAAACCAACCATTCAGTCTCCTTGTTGAACAGGATTCCAACACAACGAATTGATAAAATTAGAAATGCAACTAATGAGTAAAACATTAATTAACCTCATGACAAATGAGAGGGTGTTCGTAAAACTACAGTCACCTGTTGGGCAAGAACAGCACAATAATAGGCCTCTAGTAACATTCAATCTATACACTGTGCCAAACAGGCTGGTAGCAATTACAGAGCAATAAAATAATAGGAGTTTAACCCCTTAAGGACCAAACTTCTGGAATAAAAGGGAATCATGACATGTCACACATGTCATGTGTCCTTAAGGGGTTAAACCTATACCCCATTGGCACACAAATATAAAGTGCAGCTATGCGAGCCATTGGGATATGTATTCTGGACCTGGGTCTCAAGCCTTTTTGAGATTGGAAACCCTTACATCAGGATACCTTTTAATGCTCTTATTGACAGTTTTTTTAAGTAATCGCTTTATAGTGTAGAATCTAGTTTGGATTTAGCTAGATATTTATAAAAATTTAGTGTTTTGCACATAAAAATGAGTTAAATGCAAATAGTCTTTCATGAGGCAGACACATGATGCAAATATAATTTCTGTAGTGGAGTTTAATCGGAAAAGTTAAATCTACTTGCATAGGTTTGTGCTTCCTCTTTAGGATCAGTAGCTATCTGTAGTGAAGGATGTCTGCTTCCTCTAGGTCAATGATAGGTAATCTTTGGCAGTCCAAATGTGGTGGATTCCATCCCCCATAATGCTGGCAAAGCATCGTGGGAGGTGTAGTTCAAAACATCTGGAGTGCCGAAGGTTGCCTATACCTGCTCTAGGGTACATAGTTTGTGTGATTTTGCTTTATTGATCCTATAAGAAATAAAATAATTTCACATCGTTAATAGGAATTGGCAAATTGTCTAGTCCCTGCCGATAGGATTATTCACTATAGTGTGAGTTTTTGAGATTTCAAATGTTAGGAAAAATTCTCAAAATCTGCAGTGTTTCATTTTGACTTTTTGACCTAATTTTTGAATGTCACATTTTATTTTGGACATTTCAGATTTTAGTGAACTGTGAGTTCTTCTCGTGACCCTCTGAGTGGAATTAACACAATTATGGTCATACTAAAAACTTGGGATTGTGAAAAATTGACACACAGATTTCAAATTTTTGGTTACAATTGTATTGGCTATTCTAGTTTAAAATTTTGCATTCTTATACCACTTTTTGTACAGTTCTATTTTAATGAATAGTCTTAAAAGCAATGCAGCCCAGTGAATAGGAAGTTGCCCCAGCAAAACTGCTGTGATTTTGTTTTTTAACGTCGGAGACTTTCTTGTCGTGCAAGAATTGCCGAACTGAGCTTTATTTTTAAATGTTGGGTATTAGAGCGCTGTCAAACTTTGTCACTGTGGTTAACAAACTGATGATAGAGCTGTCTTGTTGTTTTACTTAGGCATCGGTTGATTTTTGTCTTCAGGTTATTGATGTTGTAGTACCAGCTGAACAAGCAAATCCCTTCTGTGTAAACTGTGGATCTTACCAGTCTGTTATCGCAGACTCCTTCTCTCAGGCAGCATGTGGGAGTAGATTTCAATTTACTGGGAACAAAATATTATTTTGGCTGTCAACCTCAGGCAAAACGTTCTGTGGTATGAGTCCAAACATCCGTTTATAAGCGTCTTCTATTGCAACTGAAATGGTTTCTGCTCATTCTGTTCAATTTATCAGATGTCTGCTCTAATCACTGTATATGGGGCTCGGGGAGTCTACAATCCTGTGTTGGTTTTATAAGAAATTATAGGCTTAGTGTTTCACTGGCAACTTCTTGATAAAACTTAGAATATTTTGTTTTTTTCCAACCTAGTAAGTAAGTATAATTCTCCCCCCACCCAGCCCGGAATATCATAGCCACTAACTGATTTTCTGCAGTCCTGATATATTCAGAATAATTTACTAAAGTCTACAATTTTATGAGTCTCTGAATTTTACCCCAATTTTTTTCTTCCTATATTTACTAAACAAGATGTGGGGGAATAAAGTTAAAATCTGCTAATTTAGGATTAAATTTATTAAATGAGCACTCTAGGGTCAGGAACACAAACATGTATTCCTGATCTTTATAGGGTTAAAACCACCATCTAGTCCCCTGTCCCACTCATGCCTCCCTAATTATAGTAAAATCTTACTTGTATTCAAGCCTGAAGCTGCTGGTTTTGTCCCTGTTTCCTTTTAACCTGCCTGCTGACCTCATTAGAAGTGGTAGGCTTATCCAATCACAATGCTTCCCCATAGGATTGCCTGAGACTGACAAAAAGGCAGATCCAGCACAATTCAAACACAGCCCTGGCCAACCAGCATCTCCTCATAGATATGAATTGAATCAATGAATCTCTATGAGGAAAGTTCAGTGTCTGCATGCAGAGGGAGGAGATACTGAATGTTTGGATGCATTTTAGGCAGCCATGACCCAGGAAGGATCTCTAACAGCTATATGAGGCGTGGCCAGTGAAGTTAATGATTATACTCATAAGCTGTAGTTGTTCTGGTGACTATAGTGTCCCTTTAACTTTGGATCAGCTTTTCAAATTATTTCATATTCTAGAAAATATTGTAGTATTTTAATATATTTTTAATATATTGATATTTTTATGTAAGATGATATATTTTGGAAAAATTAATTTTAAAAGTTTATTGAAAATATTAAATTATTTGAAAAGGTTATCCAAAATATTAAATTGAGGCCTTACTGTCTTATTTACGTATTAAAGTGGCCCAAACATCTGTACAAAAGAGAATTTCATTAAAAACGAGGCACAAAATTAGAGCTACTTAGTGGATCCCCTTCTTCATTTGAAGGATAAAAAAAAAATTGCTCTGAGTGTGGTGGACCTAATATTTGTCTATTGAAAGGTATCACTCTGACCTGATAGTAACTTATCTGATCATTCTCCCATCCTGTACGGTGCAACTGGGGATCCCTGGCAATCTTATGTGATCTTGATATAGTCAATTTAGTTTCATTGTGAATAAAAATACTATACTCATTATTTAAGCATAAAAAAAAATCTAAACGCAACATATGAGCCACATTCAATTGCTTTCAATTTGTGTGTATATATGCACAATATATATTTTGAGTTACTCCAAGCACCATGACCCATTTTTAGAGATTTGAAGTGGTAATTGTGCCATTTTGTATGTTACGCGGCACATACAGCCATTAACCAATCCACCTACAGTAGTATCATGGTGAGTAGCCAGCTCTGAACAAAAGTTCTGGGCAGGGTAATACCAACTCCGTGCAAAATTGGAGTCTGACAGCCAATTGCTACACCCACCAATGCAGCCCCTGTCCTCCCCTCAGTCCACCCTCTGTCTGCCCTTCCTCTCCGGTGAGTGGCTGTGACATCAGCCAAAGAGGACTGAGCGAGAACGGGCGAGAATGAATGGGAGAACTTGGCCATGGCAATGGGAAAGCGTTTAGTTTAACCCCTTAAAACCGGAGGGCGTACTATTACGCCCTACTCTAAGCGGCTCTAAACGCTGCAGGACGTAATAGTATGCCCTCAATTTTTTCTTACTTACCCGGTCGCCGGCGATCCCACGCAGGCGATAGTTGGGGAGTCTCACCTGGGATCCCAGGGAGTCCCCCGCGGCGGATCCTGCCTCCTCCGGCCCCCCATGGCCATGTGAGAGTGAGGTCCTTGCGAGGACCTCACAATCACATGGCCGGGTTAGCTGGCTGCTGCATTGCCAGTAGGGGGACTGCCTGTAATGACAGTTAGTCCCCCTGCTGGCTGGAAATCAAATAAAATAATGTTAATCAGTGTAAAAAAAAATAAAAATTATATACTTAGATCATATATATACATACACACACACACACACACATACACACACATACACTGTCTAGGTGTATTTTACTATAAAAAAAAATATATATATATATATATATATATATATATATATATATATATATATATATATATTTTATCTCAAATTACACGTAGACTGATATTGATTAAATATATATAATTATTGTTATATATAGTGTATAAAAAATATTTAAATACGTTAAAAAATTAAATGAAAAAATATATAGATGTGTTATTTCGTTCTAACTGTATTGTGATATTAATATATATATCAAAATACACGTAGAACGAAATAATATATATATGTATAAATATATACGTATATATCACTGTATGTGTGTGTGTGTGTGTGTATATATAATATATTAATTCTACATATATATTTATGTAATATTTTTTACATAATTAGGCATTTTAATTAATTACAATTAGCGTGACCTGCCTGACAACCCATGCTGAAAGTAAAGGGAATTTAATTTGCTAGCACTATATTTAACCCTATAACTTTCCAAGACACCATAAAACCTGTACATGGGGGGGTACTGTTTTACTCAGGAGACTTCGCTGAACACAAATATTAGTGTTTCAAAACCGTAAAATGTATTACAACGATGATATCGCCAGTCATAGTGAAGTTTTTTGCATTTTTCACAGCACTTACACGGACGACATTATTGCTGTGATACTTTTTACTGTTTTGAAACACAAATATTTGTGTTCAGCGAAGTCTCCCGAGTACAACAGTACCCCTCATGTACATGTTTTATGGTGTTTTCAAAAGTTACAGCGTCAACTATAAGGCTTGTGTTTCATTTTTTTCACATTAAAATTCACCAGATTGGTTACGTTGCCTTTGAGACCCTATGGTAGCCCAAGAATGAAAATTACCCCTATGATGGCATACCATTTGCAATAGTAGACAACCCAAGGTATTGCAAATGGGGTATGTCCAGTCTTTTTTTTAGTAGCCACTTAGTCACAAACACTGGCCAAAATTGGCGTTTTTTTTAATTTTTCACATACAAACAAATATTAACGCTAACTTTGGCCAGTGTTTGTGACCAAATGGCTACTAAAAAAGACTGGACATACCCCATTTGCAATACCTTGGGTTGTCTACTATTGCAAATGGTATGCCATCATGGGGGTAATTCTCATTCCTGGGCTACTATACAGTCTCAAAGGCAACGTAACCAATCTGGCGAATTTCAATTTCAAATGTAACGTGCTATATTTGAACCTGTAACTTCACAAAACACCATAAAACCTATACATAGGGGATACTGTTTTAAACGTCAGACTTTGCTGGATACAAATATGTGTATTTTATTGCAGTAAAAGCAAACAGTATTATGACATTGACAGTTAAAATGTCATGTAGAACTAAAAAAATAACTATCTTATTTTCTCCCATTTTTTTTTCATATTAAATTATGTTTCATAGCTAAATTTGATATTAAATGAAAGCCCTGTTTCCCCTGAATAAAATGATATATAATAAGGGTGGGTGCATTTACTATGAAAGAGGTGAATTACAGTTGAACAGACATGTAGCGCAAATGCCAGGTTTTGTTTACGTTTTGTTGTGTTCACAACGTGTACATTTGGCTCCGTCCTTAACGGGTTAAGCCTCTTTTCAGTTATTTATTTTGCGTTGGGGGTGGGCATACCACCATGAATGTGGTTACTCTATCCAAAATCTGTGTTTTTTGGTTATAGTAACCCTTTAAATATTTGTTAGCAACATTAGCTGTCCTTTGAAACGGATAGTAGCTTACAGGATAGGCATTCACATAATTCATTTTTTAAAATATACAAAATTATCTTGAATCTGTTTCAAGGACTTATTATGCCGACAATCATAGCTGCTATCTTTCTTGCTGTGATGTTTTAAACCAATGCTTTCACATGAATATTAAGATGAATAATGCCGTCAATTCTAATACACATGTTTAGAGGATTACTATGGCAGTTTTTTGAAAGCGGATAAATAGATTGAAAGCTAATATTTTGTTTCAAACCATATGTTTTAAAACACGCCATTTCAAAACAAATACTAATGACTTTCCAATATAGTCAATGTATACATAAATTCTAAAACAGTATAGCTCTACAGCCTGGGAAACTAAACGAGATTAATAATTATTACATTTATATCATTTGTAAAATGTTTTAAATTCTAGTATAGAACAATGGCAAATAATATCAACCAAAAACATGTGTCGTAAAAAACTCTGTTTTTGGTTATGGTAACACTTGGTTTGCTGAATCATTATTACTTTGTACATTTTTAAAATTCCATTGGTTAATCTTTTATATTTTTAGGTTGTTGAGACCCCCATTTTTCATGTAGATGGCACACAGCATTTTTTTTAAATGTGTTTTTAAAAAAAATAAAATATTTCATTCTTTTAAAATTCACCAGACATTGTTTAGTGGGTCTGCTTGCAGCTACCGGCAGAGTTGTCCCTCGCTCAGAAGATATGTTCAATCAAGATTGTTTCATTCTGGTTCATGGGGTTTGCTCTTAACCACATAAACTCCTATCCAGCATATAATTATGGCAGCCAGATTGACATGTGAGGGGCAGACTTGGAGCGGCGATGATTTTTACAAATTGCTGCAGTTCTAAGTAACTTTCAGGGTGTTTATCGACATGACCGGTATCAAGGATTCATTCATCATATTTAAAGGTAGAGTTCAGCCAGACCAAATCCCTAAAATTAATAAAATAAAATTAGAAAATTCTATAAATAACACTTTTCCTCTAAATCATGTTCTCCCTTTTATTTTTCACTTTCACAGTAACGTCGCTCATTACTAAAACATCCCTATGCTTTTGCTCACCTGTCCCTGGCAACACCATCTTCATTACTTCCACGTTACACCCCTCTCTATTTATCCCATGCACTCTACATATACCTTTCCAGCCTATCTCTTCTAACTCCTCCCAAATCCTCTACATACTATCCTACAAAACTTTCAAATCCTACTCCCACCTTCACTTCCTTTCTATCCTTCTGCTCCTAGCAGCTGGCGCTGTCTCTCCAAACCCCGGTCCCATTTCGGCAAACTCACCACGTACTAACTCAAGGAACCACACCAATCTCATACCCATCTCATGTTACTCTTCCTCTAAATCCTCCTTCAATACTGCCCTCTGGAATGCACGCTCTATTTGCAATATTACAAAATCCACTGCTGTCCACGACCTCTTTATCTCTCATTCCCTAGATTTACTAGCCTTAACAGAAACATGGTTCTCCCCCTCTGACACTGTTACCCCTGCATCTTTATCCTTTGGTGGTTTTCAACTTATCCACATCCCAAGATACTCTGAATGTAAAGGTGGTGGTGTAGGGTTTCTCCTCTCGCCTCACTGCTCTTTCAAACCCCTACCCACCCACCCTTCCTTCTCTTTCCCATCATTCAAAATTCATTTGATTCGCCTTTTCAAACCCTCCTCTGCTAACATTGCCGTTATTTATCGCCCCTCTTGTTGCTCTCCCCTCTTTCTTGATCACTTTGCTTCCTGGCTACCGTATTTCCTTTCTTCTAATATTCCATCCCTAATTCTCGGGAACTTCAATATTCCCATTAACCCACCTTTGACCTCAGCAGCCTCTAAACTACTTTCAATTACTTCCTCCTTTGGGCTATCGCAATGGGCTAATTCTCCCACCCATGTAGCTGGCAATACCCTCTACCTAATTTTCTCTTATGCATGTACAGTATCTAATATCTGCAACACTCCATTTCCTCTCTCTGATCACCACCTCTTATTGTTTGCTCTCAAGTACCCCCCCAACTCAGGAGGAACCTTAATTCTATTGACCAAGAGCAGCTGATATTGATTCACAACTGCTATCCATCCCTTCCCTCATGTCCCTCACTGGCCATCTCCACATATAACACTACGCTCACATCTGCCTTTAACACTGCAGCCCTGCTCCAAACATGCTCCTCGAGGAGGGCATGCCCCCAACCGTGGTATACTAAATCAACACACTACCTGCAAAGATGCTCTTGTTGTACTGAACGCTCCTGGAGGAAGTCTCGCACCCAGTCAGATCTTCTCCATTATAAATTCATATTGTGTTCATACAGCACAGCCCTTGCCTTCGCCAAACAGTCATACTTTTCCTTTCTCATTAGGTCATGCTCCCGTAATCCCAGGTGTCTCTTTGACACCTTTAATTCTCTTCTTTGCCCTGCTGTGGCCATCCCTCAAACTAACCTTACAGCCAATAGCTTTGCATGCTACTTTACTGACAAAATTGAACAGCTAAGGAAAGAATTCTCGCTCCTGTGCCGTTCTCTTTCTCAATCATACATATATCATGCCTATCCTACCCTTTAGAATTTCTCCCCAGCTACTGAACAAGAGGTGGCTGTGCTTCTCATTTCCGCTCGCCCCACCACTTGCCCGCTCAATCATATCCCATCTCACCTTATCAGATCTCCCCTTGCACCTTCCTTAACACACATCTTCAACTGCTCTCTCTCTGCTGGCGTTGTCCCTGCTGACCTTAAACATGCCACTGTAGTACCTACCCTGAAAAAAACATCTCTTGACCCGTCCTCCCCCTCTATTGTCCCATATCCCTGCTCCCTTTCTCCTCAAAGTTTCTGGAAAGACTTGTCTTTAGTCATATGTCTCACTTCCTCAATTCCAACTCTCTCTTTGACCCTCTTCAATTTGGCTTCCACCCTCTCCACTCTACTGAGACTGCTCTTATCAAAGTTACAAACACCTAATCGTAAGCTAAATCCAAAGGCCACTACTCCATACTAATGCTTCTTGAACTCTCTGCTGCCTTTGACACTGTTGATCATGCTCTCCTTCTTCAAACCCTTCAATCGCTCGGTCTCTGTGACTGTCGTTTTCATGGTTTTCCTCTTCTCCCCCAACGCTCTTTCAGTGCCTGCTTCTCTAATGATACCTCCTTCACTTATCCTGTCTCGGTTGGACTGCCCCAAGGCTCTGTCCTTGGACTCCTTCTATTTTCTCTTTATACTGGCTCTCTTGGCAAACTTATTACCTCTTTTGGAATCCACTACCACCTGTACGCTGATGACACCCAGATATATCTCTCCTCCCCGGACCTCTTCCCTGCCATCCTGCAACGTGTCACTGCTTGACTTTCTTCCATCTCTGACTGGATGTCCTTCTGCTTTCTGAAACTCAATCTCTAAAACTGAGCTCCTTGTCTTTCCTTCTCCTAATACTGATCCTCCTCTTTTGCTCTCCCTTTAAATTAGTGGTATCCACATAAGTCCATCCTTGCAAGCAAGCTGTCTTGGCGTCATACTTGATTCTGGCCTCACCTTTGAGCCTCACATCCAGTATGTTGCCAAATCCTGTAGATTCCATCTTAAAAACATAGCCCACATCCGCCCCTTTCTTGTCCATGCTCTGCTAATTTCCCGCATGGATGATTGTAACCCTCTCCTAATTGGTCTTCCCAAAAGCCGTATTGCCCCGCTACAGTCTGTAATGAATGCTGCCGCCAGACTGATTTTCCTCTCTAGTCGGTCCTCTCACACCTCACCCCTCTGTCAGTCCTTACATTGGATTCCTGTATCCTATATGAGTCCAAAAGTGCTAACCCATACCTATGAAGCACTGAACAATTTTAGCCCCTCTTATATCTCTTCACAGATCCATACGTATGCCCCTTCTCGGTCTCTCCACTCTGCCTGTGACCTTCTCCTGTCCGCTACTCGCACCCATACGGCCAACTCATGTTTGCAGGACTTCTCGCGGGCGGCTCCCTTCCTATAGAATAGCCTGCCTACCACCATCAGATTCTCCCCTAGTCCTCAATTGTTTAAGAAGTGCCTTAAAACCCATCTCTTTAGGAAAGCTTATGGCCTCCCAGAGTAACCTCTACCTTACATACCTGTCTATTGCACTCTACTCTCTCCTCCAGCTCTGCTTCACTCCCACCTTATTTGATTACTATTTCCTGTCCTAATATGTTTTATACCACACCTCCTATAGACTGTAAGCCCGTTTGAGCAGGGTCCTCTTTAACCCATCGTTCCTGTAAGTTTTCTTTTAATTGTCCTATTTATTGGAGTTCGAGGGGGTACATGTCCACTAGTCTTTTGATGTAGCTGTACGACATTGCTGTCAATGTATTATGCTGGCAAGCAGAAAGGCTCTTGAATAGGTTTTGCAATACAATGCAGCAGTTTAAGTGCCTTTTAATATTGTACGGTATCTGTAGACTGATCTGTCTCTGTAATACATCTTGTCATTCCGTGAAGCAGGTGTCACAGACACTCTAATATTCTGAACTAATCACAGATCACATGTTCAGGTGTTAGAATTTAGTCTGTGTTCCATCGTACGCCCAACATACCAACAGGCATTCTCAAATATCCACCAACAAGCTGTTCTACTGTAGCGCCATATTTGGTTCACTGACTCTGTAAGCACCAGCTGGCAAAACAACATGGTTTCTGTTCTTACACACATATTGGATTTAATTACCAGCATGGATTTGGGTTTAGCAGGCATTTTCCTTCTCCTGCTTGATTCTTTCCTGGACTGTAGCAAATGATCCAAGTGGCATGTTGGCCTTGCCCAACCAAGCCATTTTAGACTTATTTTATTTGCCCCCAACACACACATTAATGTAGTTAATGATCCATCCTCTGACATGCACTCATTCACACACATGCATACAAAGCTAATTAGTCACTCTCCCTCACACATACATTTCTAATTAATCAAACCCATAGGTCCGGTCAGTCATCGATGGGGAGGAAGAAGGGAGGGTAAGAGGCCTTTCAGTCTGTCCTTAATACCTAGCAGTAGAGCCAGGGAGCTATGCATCAAGCAACACAGTGCTCATTTCTGCTTCCTCTCTAGGAACATTTAAATTTTAAGCAGAAATAAGTCTTTTGCTAAAAATTCTCTATCGCTAGACAACAGTTGGAAGAGGTTGTGGAGGGTGCAGCAGAGATGTATTTACCACAAGGCATTTGCCTAGGGCGGCACTTTCAGAGGGGACGCCAAAGAAACACCACCCCAAGCTCCCAGGCAAATGCCTTGATGGCCTTGTGTTCGGGGGCTGTCCACCTTACTGTGAGTGAGTGAGTGTAGCTGTCAGTGTGTGTCTTTCAGTGAGAATGGGTGTGCCTGTGAGTGTGTGTCAGTGTGTGTATGTCATTTTATGTGTATCTGAGAGTGTGTGCCTGTCAGTGAGTGGGTGTGTAAGTGTGTGTCTGTCAGTGAAAGCGTGTGTTGGTTAAACAGTGTGTGGCAATGACTGTTTATCTGTCAGTGAGTGTATATCAGTGCATGTATCAATGAGGACATGTGTCTGTCAGTCAAAAAAGTGGCCTTGACACGAATTGCGTGTGGCAAATTTAGATTTTGGGGGTGCCCGAATTTAGTCGTGCCTAGGGCAGCACAAATCCAAAATACACTGAGGGAGTTGGGGACATTACCATTCGCTAACCATATAGACTCTGACAATATGCAACCACTGCTTTCTTTCCTCTGTACCTATGGTGAATATGTGAATTTTAAAATTTAAGGAATAATAAAATAAAAGTAAAGGATTGCTAAAGGAGTGAAGTGCATGTTTACCCCACTGCTCTTAACATGGAAATTTTTACAATCATAATAATGACTACATCTATTTATCAATTGCCGGTCTACACATGTACCTGTGTGTGTAATATTGCCCCAGTACGGGGGATCGCATACCAAATGTAGAACCAATTTTGTTTTTCATATTGCGAATTAACATTCTTAGAAACGTACCCATCTCAAGGTGTTGTTTAGTGTGTAAACTGCTTAAAATGTATGAAATACTATGTGAGAAAAAAACATGCAACATGTGTGAGTACCTCTTAGGTAAAAAGTGAAGTTCAATATTTAAGGAAATGTAAGGCTTAGAAGTGGGGATTGGAAATGTATGTACCTCCATCTTTATTGTAGTTTGTCAACTGACTTAACACTTCTTATCTTGTATAAGACTTTGAGGGTCTTGTTCTTCTGCCACAGTTTCATAAATGGTCACTTCCCCTTTACCAATAACCCCCTTCTTCTGCCTCTATAAGAAATGTGTTAGTCCTGTTAAAAATTTTTTTTTTAAATTGCGATTCTGTCTTCTGAATGGTCAGTATTGTATATAAAGGGCAGATGTAGATAGAATGGGCTACACATCTCTACCTTCACTTGGAAGGACTTGCTGTCGTACCTGTATCTTCTGGGACTAGAAGTGGTCTGGGTGACTTTGGCAGTCCTTCAAACCATAACCAGAAAAAAGTTGTATAGAACTTTTTAGCACAGTGATTTTTTTTCTATATTTTTTATTTATTGATTGATTGATTAGAGATCAGTGTGCTCTTGTATGGAATTTTGTATGGTTCAGTAAAGTTTATTTTGCTACACATTCATGCATGATACCAGGGGACAAATGGACATGTGTGATTTCTCACGTTACTCTAAACCACCACACCTGGTCAATGTTTTTACTATTCTACGGCCAATTCATTACCTTGAGGTTCTCGCCGCAATTGCACTACAATTTTTGTTGTGTCCTTGGGGGGTGGGGTGGGGTGTGTGTGTGTGTGTGTGTGTGTACACACACACACACATTATTATTTCTTGAGTTTTTCCATGTAAGGTAACTTTAAAATGAATTTAGTATTTTAAAATCAAAGTGCTTGTTCAGCTGGTCCTGATGGACAGCAAAGCCAGCTCTGCCAAGATTAGGCTGCATTTTCTGTGATAAAGTTTAAGTTCCGTATTAGGGAAACCAGATGTTATTCCCCATCTCTCTGTGTTATATAAAAAAAAAACTTTTCATGTATTTCCAGTTTCGGTTTCTTGTTGTGAAATCAATTCTCTTGCAGAAAGTACAGTCTGCAGCAGTCTAGACATTGACACAGGAAATGTGTTTTGTTCCAACCTACACAATGCAAACCTGTTTCTAAAAATTCACTTTTAGATGCGCAGTAAATTCAAGGCAAATCTTGTAAGGGAATGATGTGCAACAATGTTATTACAGGGGAAGGGAAGCAGCAACAACAACAACAAAAATATATTAATCTGTTTAGGAACTAAAATACACAATGAGATATATATATATCAGGCATATATATATTGCAGTAAAAAAGAAACAAAGGCACTCTTCCTCTAATTCTGTTGGCAAAGGTCACAACACGAGCTGATGCAGTGTTAGAGGCTGGGATGCAATCTGACACACTCTTTTCTAAACTGGAATATTCAAAGTATACTGCGTTTTTGTTAGATATCATTTTGACACAGATTTGGTTCTGTGTGAAACTTTGAAAACGCATACCACTGGTGAGAACATATTTAACTGTATCCAGAAGTTCATGAACACACATAGTATAGATTGGGACAAATGTGTAGATGTGTGCAGTGATGGTGCCAAAGCAATGATTGGGAAAGTGGCAGGCGCTGTAACACGAATAAGAAATGTAGCAAAAAACAGCACCAATTCTCACTGTGTTCTTCACAGACATGCACTGGTAGCTCAAAATATTTCAATCTCACTTAAAACTGTGCTAGACAAATCGGTTCACATTATTCATTTCATAAAAAGTCGACCATTGCAGTCACGACTATTTAAAATAATATGTGAAAATATGGGTAGTCACCGCTCTGCTTTTGCATTCAGAAGTCCGTTGGCTATCACAAGGTACAGTCCTTGTTAGAATGTTTTGAATTGCTTTGAGTAGTTTGCATATTTCCAGGATCACAAATTTGGATTATCTGATCGATTTTAACAAACACTCTGTTGTTATCCAAAGTAGCATATCTTGCAGACATAGTCACAAAATTAAATGACGTATGTTTATCACTCCAAGGAAAAAACACAAATATTTTTATTGCAAGAGATAAAATATTTTCACTGTCTCGTAAGATGCAGTTTTAGACCTCATCTGTTGAGCAAAATAATTTGAACTCTTTGCCAACACTTTTCTTGAAGAATAAGAAATTGGACTTGAGGATGAAATTCGCAACCATTTAATCACATCTATTAATCAGTATTTTTAATTCTTGAATGAAAACAATGAGTGGGTTTGAAATCCATTTATAAAAGACAAGCCAATTTTTCTGATGTAGAATTTGAGTATCTGATTGACTTAACTTCTGACGGTCAACTAAGCCAAAAATTTAAAGAAGTTTCTCTTATTGCTTTTTGGGGTGATTTACACAAAGAATACCCAGAATTGTCCAAGTGAGCAATCAAAGTTCTGTTGCCATACGCCAGCACATACTGATGTGAAACTGGATTCTCGCCTCTGCAACAAAAAAAAGTATCAAAATCAACTTGATGCAACTGCAGACATGCGAATACAATTGTCAACAATTAAACCAGATATAAAAAGAATTTGCCAGCAAAAGAGAACATTACACTCTGCTCACTGAAAGGTTTCCGCTGCGCTACTCTTCGGCACACATTTTTTTGTTTGGGTTCCAAAGTGTTGCTATACCATGTCAAAGGGTTCCAAGGGAAAATTAATTGGGAAACCCTGACCTAGAGGTACGCTTAGTTTTGTAATACAGTACTCCGCAATAGTGATACTGTGCAATTTAAAACTCTGTTTTCTTAAGAGATCTTTCCAAATCTCTAATTACAGTTTCAGAACTCTGGGTATTCAAAAGCTTGTAATATCCAAGGTGCTTCCTCATCTGCATAGCAAAAAGTGCTAGGCTGCCCACGACTCCATAGTGCCATACATTTTCAAAGTGCATATATAATACAATCATGTGTTTTTTTTGTTTGTTTTTTTAGCAACACAGAAGTAACGAAATGGAGGTGCAACAAATTCCAATAGTGCTAAAGTCCAATAGTTCAAAAGCCAAACAAGGAACTACATTCATCCATTAATAAAAACCTAGTTGCAACCATTTAACCCTGCCAGTACCATTTAACCCTGCCATGTAAACATTGCAGTTTCAACAAAACTGCAATGTTTTACATTGGCTTAAAATGACAGGACCACTGAACCCATATCGCTTCATTAAGATGAAATTGTGTGGGTGGCTTTAGTGGTTCTCAAACCATAACCAGAAAGAATGTGTAGAACTTTTTAGCACTGTGATTTTTCTTTAACGTATTTATTTTTTTGGTCCATAATTTGAGGGTAACCACCCACATCCCAAATACTAATTAATAAAATCTATACCCTGATCATTTAGGTGGCTGTTGTGGTATTCATATGTTGAGGTAAACATGACTCATTCAGAGTGTGGTGAGCCAGAGTCTTTATTGATGTGTCTCACTTGCGTGTTAACGAGCCAAGTGCAAACTTCCTGTAGCTTAGATAACATTATGTGAACCTAAATTTTAATTTGGAGCAGAATGAGTTTTTATGGAGAAGTTGCTCACGTTGCTTTGATGGTTTATTTGTTTTTTATTCTTTATTTTTGCAGTGCATTGCATATGCCATACATTGAACAGTGGTTTGTGGTAGAGAAATATGATTGCATAACTTAGTATGGGTGGAAAACATTGAGTAACTGTACTAATTTTATGCATGCTATGGATGTGAGCCTAGGTCTTACTGTAAGGGATAGAACTCTTCGTGTTTTGTAGAGGTGTAGTTCGCATACTCGATCCTAGTGCCATGTTCCCGTGATGCCGGAGGCTAAATAGGAGGCAGCATATCACAGGTTTTGGCATACGTGCGTTTGAGAATTGAAGTGAGGATGCAGTGAGTGCATCAGATCTCAGAGGTCCTTAGAGTGTTTGGATGTAGCTTCTCCATAGTGTATCTATGTGGCTGGTGATTGTACTCTATGCCAAGAGTGTAAATACTCCTGACCAAGGGAGTTGTGGGGGGTAGGAGGAGTTTGCTTGTTGCCGTTCTAGGCTTTAGGTGGACTACCTGGTCCAGGTATAAGTTTGTTTGTGTGTGTCTGCCATGCTATGACATTTTTAGGTGGACTATGCTGTACATGTAGTCTCATACAGTAATAAGTATTACAAATTAAAATGGGGAAAAGAATAGCAGAGACACAACATATAAGCCAAAACAGCAGAAAAGTTGAGCAAGGACATTTTGGCAGTCATTAGACTTGCAAAGACGATGCCTGGATCTGAAATATGCTTTCACCTGTGGGTTCAAGTGCCTTGCGTCGAACCAGTCCCTATAGGCTGTCCTGGCCCTCGGGACAAATGGGGTGACGTGTTCCGGGTCCCAATTGTCAGTAGTTGGTTTTGAGGGTGGATTTACAGCAGTCAGAATCACCAGTCCCAGTGTCTCCAGGAAGGTGGGTGCGTCCTTCTTCGAGGTGAGTGTGTGCTGCGTTCTGTTCTGGTGCACCACCAGGGATCCGTTAGTCCCCATTGGTTAGAGAGCTGAAAGTTCTACTCCAGATGAGGATGGCTTTGGTGAGGTCTTGAAAGAAAGTCAAGGCAGCACCCTCAAAGGCCAGCAGTGCTTTACCTTTAAGAGCAGACATGATCTGTATCTTATCATGAACGGTTAGACATCTGAGTATCATGTCACGAGCTACATTTGATGGTGCCCTTGCTGATGTGGGTAGGAGATAGATCTCTTCTGTGGCTAGCTTCTTTGCTGTAGCCTGTGATAAAATTGTGGCCAGGAGGCGTCTAGTGTAGTGCAGTAGTTCGTCCGGTAAGATTTTTGCAGGGATGCCCTGTATTTTTATATAAGAGCGCCTTTGCCGTTCCTCCATGGCTGTCATCTATGCAGTCATGGTTCTCTGTTGTGTCCATACTTGCTGCACCGAGTCTTGAAGCTCGGACAGGTGAGACTGTAGGCCCATGATATCTTTTTTGGATGCATGCCCCCTATCTGTAATTGCTTTTATGTCTTTCTTGATGGGAGCGAATTCTGCCGCCAAGGTTTTGTGGAAGTCAGTCAGCAGTATTTTCAGATCATACCTGGTGGTTGGAGTCATGTCGGCTGAGTTGTCCAGCTGTGTTGGGCTCTCTAATTGAGTGTCCATCGAGGTCTCTGGCTCCGATTGCTCTGGGTGGTAAGTGTGGGCTGCAGGGCGCGGGGATTCAGCAGGAGCGGTTTTGGCTGCGTGGGCCGTTGTAGCATGGCCCCAATGTCCCTGTTGTCTGCCGCGGGTTGTGGTCGCTGTGAGTGGCGTCCCATGGCTGGCATGTGGGCAGGCAGGACTGTCGTGGTTGGGGAAGCTGTTTAAGTTTGCCTCAAGGCCTGTAAGTGTCAGTATGCGGTAGGCCCCGGTTTTCTGCCTCAGGGTGAGTTAATGAGTCTTGCTGTCCACTTTTTGTAGCTGGATGGGCTTGGGATAATTTGATATTCCTTGAATATTGGCTTTTGTAGAGGAGCATACATGAATGGCGTCCGTTCAGGTTGATGGTCAAGGTCCGTCCCCTTTGTTATTTTTATTTTTTATTTTTTTTACACTACCAGTATTTGAAATGTTAGAGGAATATTAATTGGAACTACATCTAGATGCAATTATCAGAAGTTGCTTGCTTGTGTTCTCTTCTCACAAATAATGAGGGGGAAAACTCATACTTTCAGTTTGACTTCTGATCTGTCTTTTTCAATAATGTATTTGAAATGGAAACTTAAGGTCTTTAATAAGCAAGCATCTTCCTGTAGATCTGTAGTTAGTTTTTTTTCTTTGTATGTTTTGGTGAGTTGTTAATGATTGTCTCACTATTTGCTATTCATATCCAGCAGATAATTGTTTTTTATAAGGCAATAAAAACACAACTTCAAATTGGTTTACCTGCAGCAAAATTAATTTACTATATTATTTTATGCTATTAAATAGCTATTTTGACAAAAATCTAATGCCTCTACAATTGCCAGACATTTCATTGCTCAGGCATGCTCGTTTGGAGTATAACGGAAAGGGCATGCAGGCAGTAAATTATATACCATATTTACTCGAATCTAATGCACACCATATTTTTGAAAATAAAGTATAACTGCGCATTACATTCGCCAGCAAAAATATTTTTCAGCTTCCAAGTTTAAAAAATTGAGGTGCACATTAGATTCGATGGCGCATTCGATTCGAGTAAATATGGTATTTCCTTTTTTTATTTGTAAACACCAGTGAGATATTTTAGGTGTAATGATAATGGTTACCGTAAATATTACAGAAAGTGAGATAGATATAGATAGATAGCACTGCAAACTGTTTAACTTTTATACAGGCAATTAAATGGTCATTAAAACTACCTTGCCAAAGTGTAGAAAATTAAAGGAAGGCGCAGCATTGAACTTTCCTTTTTTGCCTTAATCTTCAAATTTGGTGTTTAGTAATTGGACTCTTAGGCGTTGTTACAAATAATTTTTACATTTGTCAAGCAGTATATGTATAATATATGTGTATATAAAACTTAGGAAGTAATCCTGTGTGTTTCTTCATATGTTTGTTTGTCTACTAATGATATCTGACTGGTGTGTTGTGTTTGATTGCATTGTTTATTTTTATTTTCCCCCTCAGTATATGGAGGTGATTTCGATGACTTCGATTTGGAAGATGCTTTGGATATGGCAACAGAGAAACGTAAGTTTGTTTGGGAACTTTTGGGACTTTATTTTTTTTTTTTTTTTAAAGCTAATTTTTACTTGTTGCTCTCATTGATACAAAATCAAATTATAAAATTGTTACTCACTAACTGTGCCCTGAAATGGCAAATGTTGCCAAAGGATTTTAATAATTAGTACAGCACACCCCTAACAATGGCTGGTCTGAAACCTGGGTCGGAGGGCTGGGTGGGCTGCCATGGGATTAAGATAAATCACTGAATGTGCACAGGTCTGTCTGATAAAGGGGCAGACAGCGCATGTTGTAAACGCTGATAACCCTGAGTTTACACTGTTACTCTAATGCCAGTTAGTACTTCTAATGAAACTGTGTACAAAGTTGGAATTCCAAAACAGACACCCAAATTCTGACAACACAGTCAAACTAAGGACAGTTGGTATGCATGATACCATAACACATACATGAATATGACGATCAGTAACTGTGTTTGACATGTAGTAGAACAATTTGATTATATTGACCTGAGAATATAGCAGAGTTTTTAAACAGGAATTTTATTGTCTTGAATTCATCCCAGAGCCTCACCGGTGTCTTATCCACTCATCTCCTCTCCTACCCCATGGGAAACTAAGAAAAGTTCCCATTGGGGACTCTAAGCCCCAGAATTGGTTGTACTGTTTGGGTTAATGTGAAAGGTCTACGGGAACCATATCTGGTGGAAATTGTGGGAGAGATCTCATGAATATCAGCGCCAATACAACAGTCCATATCATTAATAAAATGTACTTCCTGAAGTGAAAGAAAAACCTTCAGATAACCTCTTCCAATCCTGGGGGAAACAAAGCTTATAGTAGCCAGGCATATTAAGTATGTGTTGCTAATTTATCATCAAGAGGGACCCTGGGTGTATAATAACCTCTAGAGGACATTTAAGATGTGTGTAGGGTGGTTATACAGTTTAAGAAATAGGCTTTTGTAAAATAGAATGCTGACTGGTTTACTCAGGAAAGTTGGAATTGTTGAGAACATAGTTTAGACACTATACTAAGTACCCTCCTCCTCAACCCTGGAAACATTGGCCTGCTGAGTAAATCACAAATAGCCTTGTGACATCCATGGTTTTCCTAGGGAAAGTTACACCAGTTAGTAAATTGCATTTTTAGTATAGTTTTGTTGCAACACACACACACACAAATCTGTCTAGTGAATCAGGCTGAAGATGTATGAACTGTGTTCTAAAAAGCGATTTTTCACATTCTCAGTGTGTCCATTTTGTTACATCAAAAAGAATGTGCAGACGTGTGCAAACATTTACACAGGCAAACCAAAGTTTGATATGTTGTGATGGGATTCCAGCATGGTCAAAATTTAGTAGGCCAAAATCTCCATGTGGCATATGTGTATGTTGTGTCAGTTGGTTAGCTACATGTAGCTAGGATACTGTCATCAGTGTACTGAGCATGTGCAGGAATGCAGGAACTGAAATTGCACTTATTTCCTTTGTCTTGGATGAGCCATGTGGTTTGACTAGATGTACAAGTCTATATTCTGCTCATTGATTGGTTAAAGGTGTATGTGGGTGTAGCTATTAATGGGAGGAGTTATAGTGCTATATAAGGAATGTACACTATGTGTTGGTCTCTCAGATCATTTGGAACAGGAGTTCATCTGAGACCCGATCGGTAATGTGAATAAAGGCCTGTTACTTCCTGAAGACCTGTGTCCAATATTTCTGTGTTTGGCTTCTGCATGCTTACACTGCAACAATGTTAATAGGGACTATCTGGACATCAACAATACTTTAATGCATTTGATAGTTATTGGCTTTATAAATATGCTGGGGGGTTTTTTTTTTTTTGGTTTTGTTTCTGTTTTTTTGCATACTCAAATTTATTTATTTTTCTTCATAAAATAAATGTTTTGCAGAATGCTACACCATAAGCCTGCCTTTTTAACCACACCCCCTCACTCACACAAAGCTCACCCACTGACAGCACGAAGTGATCTGAACATCAAAACATCCTGCATTAGGAGAGGACACCCTCAGAAGCATTTAGTAAGAATATCACTTTCTGTTTGCGATGTCTCTGACTGTCAGCAGCAAAGTTATGAATTCAAAACAGCTCACTCAATGCTGTAAGGGCTGAGATTGTGCGCATAGATTTGATAGGGGAGTCTTTCTGGCATTAGTGGGCGTGGCTAAAGAGACAAACTTATGTTTCAACATTCTGCAAATAATTTATTTATTTTGTGTAAAACTATAAAGATTTGAGCATGCAAAAATGCAGCATATTAATGAGACCAAAATCTGTAAAATGCATTAAAGGAGTATTGATGCCCAGAGTGCTCCTTTTAAGGTTACAAAATCTTTTTAAACCAGGAGGATTATTTAACAAACTCGTTGGAAGTAAATTGGTTCAATTTATAGTTATGCACTAGTCTATAACACATTAGCCTGCGGGATTCTTTTGACCAGCAAGCACCTGTTGCTCTCTTGACACTGTACATTGTGCGGTTATTCCAGCCTCTCTAATCTATACCTTGGAATATCTGAAAGGCTTCTGACTGTTCTAAGAAACTCTTCAGAAATCCTGTTAAAAAGTTGAACATGAAAAAAACCCTCTTTAAATAGAATTCTATTCTGAGATCACTGTATTAACCTATTCTCTGTATGAGTGCTACTTATCAAAACCCTTAACCTTGAAAAGTGAGCCAAGAAAAGGAATCTGCTGCATTTATTTAACCCCTCGATGCCCAGTGACATAACATGATGATATGATCTAAACGGGTTTATGTAACTTGTGATTATTGAAGGGTTACACATTTTTTTTTAAATGTGTAACCAGACAACAGATGTCCAGCTGTAAATAACGCGGTTCTGTTTTTTGCTTTCTTTATTCCCCCCTGTATATTGTCCTGCAATAGAGAGATCCTATATTTACTATTGTACATGGTTGTTATTGTTCATTAAGAATACCTGTCAGATTTCTGATTACATCACAATTTATATCATTTTTATTTTATTTTTTTTACAGCCAGACCACCCAAAATTCCAGCACATAAACCAGGTAAGACCGTTCATTAGTTATCATTTATTTATTCAAATGTAAAAAATTTTTTTTTGCAAATAGTAATTTTAATTTAGTCTTCGTACGGTACTTCATATACATCGGCTAGTAAAGGTATCTTATAAGCATCACGCGTAACACATGCATAGGTTCAACTGACCATTGTTGTTTCAGTAAGCTATATAAACCAATACATGTACCAAGTACAATGATTTTTTTTATTGATTTTTTTTTGGTACGGAGCATATTTAAACAGGGGTCAAAAGGGGGAGGTGGAAGAACATGGGGGTTTAAACTGTGTAACTAACACAAAGTTAAAATTTTAGGCATATGCTGAATCTGTGCACATGCAATAATCGATGTTGGTACTGTATCATTTAACCAGGTACATACAATGCAGTTTGGTGTGCCTTGGTATGGCTGTCAGACTTCAACTCACTTTTAATGAAGTAGTTCAGTTCTGACTTTGGATGAACTTGGCCCAGGTATCCCAGGCTATTTCCCAGTAGTGTCTGTAGTGCGGATGCTTCCTTTTTAGCGTCTTACGGTTGTTTCATTTAAGTGTGTTTGGTTAATTTGGTGTAAGCACATTTGTATTGTGGGGAAGACCAGTTTTGTGCCATGATGGAAAGTGCTGCTATAATTATGTGGAAAATGAGATAACGACCTGGTTTTGAGATTGAGGTTGGTAAGTTAAATAGAATGTAGTGTTCCAGTAGGTGGGGTAGAAGTACTCCAGTACTGTTATGAATGAATTTGGTTATGTTCTTCCAAAATTTGGGCAGACGTGTGCATTCCCACCATATGTGTAACATGTTCCCAATTCCAGACCCGCACCGCCAGCATTGGTTGGATATAGTTGGGCTAATCCGATCTAAGCATGCTGGTGTGAGATACCACCTATAGATACGTTTTTTTTTTTTTTTTTTTCAGACTAATTCTGTATGTTTGGAGCAGCGAGTCAGGGTTTATTCCCATTCTGCTTCTGTGAAGAATTTGTTTAATTCTTTTTCCCATGCTTTGATAAAGCTGAAATCTTTCATGTTGAATTTGTTAGGTATTGCGATATATATGGATGAAATACGTTTTTTTCGAGGGTTTGGTACCCACCTAAATGCTTTTGAAGTCAGTCAGCCTATGCCCATGTACAGAGATCGCATTAGTTAGGTTTTATATAGTAATCCATGAACACATTTGGCGGTAGTAGTGTGCTGTTGTAGGTAGTGTATAAGTGCGTTTTAGTTCGTGATATGTTGTCATGGCATGGCTTGTAAATAGTTGGTATAAGAAATAAATACCATGTCTTTCCCATATCCTGTAATTGAAATCTGGAATCAAGTGTATTAGGGATTTAATCGGCAATGATATAGGGGTATATGTAGAAATATTTTTTGATTTGTGTCCCGTACTGACAGTGTCAGGCTGGTTGTTGGAAGGCAGTCGGGGTTTGTGGTCTTTTGTTCGCTGGAATCCATGTCATGGTATCTATGGTCATTTAATTTGTCCAGCTGGACTTTATATGTTTCCATTGGGGGTCATGTGGGTGCGCTCTTGCATATAGAACGCTACTCAATATGGCTGCGTGGTAGTACCTTTTAAAATTAGGTAGGCTCATGCCTCCTTCAGTGAGAGGTCTGTGCGTGATTTCCAGTGCTATACGTGCTCTCTTACCATTACACACGAAGTTATAGACCCAACGCTGTAAAGTGCTAAAGTATGTATGTAGTATTCATATGGATAGGGATCAGAAATAAGTATTGTATCTTAGGGAGTACTATCATTTTAATTGCGCCCTGTCCAGGATATAAACAGAGGTTTCCATTCTTGTAGTTGTTGTTTTACTTCCATCAATAGTCTTTAGTAATTAAAATTAGCCTGGTACAAGTTTGTTAGTGATTTTGTAAAGACAATGCCTAGGAAGATAATATGGTCATTTCTCCAGTCATATGTGTAGACATTTTCAGTCTTTGCAGTGTATCTGCAGGGATTCCCTTGAGTAAAGCCTGTTTCTTAGCGACATTCAGTTTGTAATATGAAAATTTGCTGTACGTCTCCAGTATGCCCTGACACATGATTGGATGCAAGCCGGGTGTTAAATATAACGAAATGTAAAGTGACTTCCTATAAATAAGCAAGATGTGTATATCTATGACTTTATATAAAATCCATCACTTCAGGTTAGGAGGACGTCTAGCTGCATCATGATGGTAAAAACGCTATCCTAACAGTAACGCTCTTTTATCAAGATAATTTCTCTTTAAATTGGAGCTGTGTCACCCACAGCTGAATTAATATTCCCCAGCATTCCGCAAGCAATGAGCAGAGTCAGCACATTAGCAGCATAGTGCGACGAGCAGAGACTGCAGCTTTTAGTGGATGCTGGCAATCTCTTTGTAGTTCATACATTTCGGGCGGTCTTTATTTCCTCACATTGGTATTTCATGTCCTCTGCTAAAAGGTAGTGGGTGTTTTCCAGCAATTCTTAGTATAGAATGTCATAATCTGGGTCACTAACTAAGTGAATGTTTGTAGAATATCCTGAAGGAAATTGTACATTTTAGCCAAACATGAATATTTCTGCAGTTGGACTATTTTATCTTAAAAATTGTCAATTCTATACAGTTCCCACTTTAGTACATAGCTCTGATGTGATTGCCTCTTTAAAATCATAAACCATGAACTGTAATGAGCTGGAAATCAAATTGCAAAACTAAATTATACCTGGCTAGTTTGGCCCAAATTATTTATTTTCCCCACCTCAATTTACTGTTTAGGGAATACACATTTTTGTGATTTTATGTGTTGGGAGAAAAGCTATCTTAAATGGACACTGTAGTCACCAGAACAAATTCAGCTTATTGTGTTTGTTCTGGTGAGTATAATTAATCCATTCTGGCTTTTGCAGTAAACACTGTTTTTTTTTTTCTTAAAGGACCACTCTAGGCACCCAGACCACTTCAGCTTAATGAAGTGGTCTGGGTGCCAGGTCCAGCTAGGGTTAACCCATTTTTTCATAAACATAGCAGTTTCAGAGAAACTGCTATGTTTATGAATGGGTTAAGCCTTCCCCTATTTCCTCTAGTGGCTGTCTCATTGACAGCCACTAGAGGCGCTTGCGTGCTTCTCACTGTGATTTTCACAGTGAGAGCACGCCAGCGTCCATAGGAAAGCATTATGAATGCTTTCCTATGCGACCGGCTGAATGCGCGCGCAGCTCTTGCCGCGCGTGCGCATTCAGCCCAGAAGGAGGAACGGAGGAGGATCGGAGGAGGAGAGCTCCCCGCCCAGCGCTGGAAAAAGGTAAGTTTTCCCCTTTCCAGAGCCGGGCGGGAGGGGGTCCCTGAGGGTGGGGGCACCCTCAGGGCACTATAGTGCCAGGAAAACGAGTATGTTTTCCTGGCACTATAGTGGTCCTTTAAGAGAAAAGACATTGTTGACATTACAGCTTAGTGATACCTCCACTGGCCACTCCTCTGATGGCTACTAGAAGTGCTGCCTGTGGCAGTGTTGCACAGTGTGACTGCCATTGAGTCGATGCATTTCAATGAGGAAATTGTTTGGCCAAGGCTGTGAGTGGCTTGTGCTGGCTCTGGCTCTGATCTGGCTTCTTGACAGTCTCAGCCAATCCAAAGCATTCCTACGGCAAAGCACTGTGATTATGTCAGTCGGGCAGGCAAATCAAGGGCAGAGCCAGCAGCAGGAAACTGGAATAAAGTTAAGATTTTACTATATTTAGCAGGCTTTTAGCACTATAGGGTTAGCAATACATGTTTGTGTTCCTGACCATATAGTGTTCCTTTTAAACATTATGTGTGTCAAAGCCTGTTCAAGACCTCGGGTAAAAAACCCTACCACTCATTAAAGAGTAACCATAGTTTTGATTTTTTTTCTTGGAAATTTCAATTTGATATTTTTTTCTTGTATTGTCATCTTTCTATGCTCTGGACATCTGCTGAGATAAGCTGTATGAGTAAATGCACGCTCAGATATTTCTTCCGAAGTGATGTAGGCGTGCAACTTCCCTCAAAGCGCCTGCACGCAGCACAGTAGGTAGAGGGGCATTACATTAAATTGCTAGGACAGCCAGATATACAAATAAATTAAAATTAAAAATCTGTTAGGAACTATTTTTTGCTAGATTTTCATTATGATTAGATTTTGCAAAAATCTTGCATAACCTAAATAATCAACCTTATCAGAACTGCAGTGTATAGAATCAAATGAATGTATTAATGCTTAATACAAACAGGGCTGAAAAAAATAAATAAAACTGTAATGCAAGAACTGTGCCTGCTGTCTGTTTTTTTTTTTGTTTTTTTTTTACAATGTAATCTACTATTTAACGTTTATTGTACTTTACATTTAAATTGTATGCATGCATCATATTAAACCATTAGTGTAATTTATTTTGACATAAAATAACAGACTTACTTATAGAGAGTCTTACGTGCAGACATCAACATGTTGCGAACTAGCTGACACCTGTCACAGTCACAATCTGCTAATGGCAGGTTATCAATGTCAGCCATGGCAACTATACAGTTCAGAAAAAAAAGAATGAGCAGGGTTTAAATGACGCAACAATGGACCTAGTTCTGATAATATATGCTTCATACAAGAGTGGTCAACAGGGATGGACTGACAGTGACCTGGGCCCCTGGGCAAAATTAGGACCTGGGCCCCTGGCAGAACCATATATGCTGGTATATAAGATGGTGTATGTACCGTGTATTTGACTATATGTGCATGTATGTTTGTGTATGTATATTCACTGTGATCCCTGGTTTAAGTGAATGTATGTATGTTTTTGTGTGCAGTGTCACGATGTGTGGATTCAGAGTAATATAAATACATGTTTTTTTCTTTGTTTTTTTACAGTGTGTATGTGACTCATGGCAATGTGTTTATATGAGGTATGCAAGCATCCTAATTTTGGATCTTGAAAAACTAACCATGTGCTAAAAGTTACGAGCCACCTTAAAGGGACATTATAGTGTCCACTATAGTCACCAGAACGACTATGTAGTTGTTCTGGTATGTATAGCCAGTCCCTACAGGCATTGTAATGCAAACGCTGCCTTTTTAGGAAAAAGGCAGTGTTTACATTGCTGCATAGGGACACCTTCAGTGGCAGTCACTCACACAGTGATAGACAATGTGCAGCACTGACATTTAGTGTCTCTATGCTCTGCATGGAGGCACTGAACTTTCCCCAGAGAGATGCATTGATTCAATACATCTCTATGAGGAGATGCTTATTGGCACAGAGCAGCGTTTTGCCATCTGTGTCAATTAGCTTCCAATGGGGAGAGCATTGGAATGGCTGAGATCATCAATTCTGATCTCCGTTAAGGAGCCAGCGCAAGCGGATACGTGTGGCGCTAAAATAAAGGTAAATGTATTACCTTTTTAAGAGGAGCAAGGGGATGCGGTAATCTAAATGGTGTTTCTAACACTATAGGGTTAGGAATACACATTTGTATTCCGGAACCTATAGTGTTCCTTTAAATGCATTTTTTTTCTTGTTTTGGAATTAATTCTAGTATGTCCATGACATCAGTGTGTGTGCAGGGATGTATTTGTATTGAGGGTCTGTATGTGTGTAAATGCAAGGCCATATTTGGGTGTAGTTTGTGTGTGAACTCAGGTTTGCATGTGTGGAACATCTGTGTGTGTGAACACAGGGGCATGTAGTTGTTATAAGTGCTGTAGTGTGAAATTACTGGGGGCAGGGGGTAATATAAGCTATTGAGGGTGCAGGGGAGGAATAGAGGCTGAAGTGGGTAACAGGGGTTTTAGAATTGTGGTTGTAGTGGGTGATAGGGGCTGTAGCATGTGTAAGGGGTAATAGGGGTTGTAGTAGGTAATAGGGGCTGTGGCATGTGTAAGGGGTAATAGGAGTTGTAGTAGGTAATAGGGGCTGTGGCATGTGTAAAGGGTAATAGGAGTTGAGGGTCGTAGGGGGTGATAGGGGTTGTAGGATGTAGGGGGTGATGGGGCTGTAGTGGGTAATATGGGTTGTAGGAGGTAATAGGGATTGTAGTATGTGTAGGAGGTAATAGGGATTGTAGTATGTGTAGGAGGTAATAGGGACTGTAGTATGTGTAGGGGTGATAGGGGTTGTAGTATGTGTAGGGGCTGTAGGATGTGTAGGATGTCATATGGGTTGTAGGATGTGTAGGGGGTCATAGGGGCTGTAGTATGTGTAGGGCTAATAATAGTTACAACAAAGTATTTAGCCAGGAAAGGTACATTCAGATTACTCTGGTTTTCAAGTACGCCCTGGGGATGTTACCTTAGCCCAACATCCAGGGGATGTTACTATTTCCCAATTTAATGGTACTCATTTTATCTACCTCTGAATGAACCCTGCTGGGATTTGAACCTGCGACCCCAGAGTTTAACAGATTCTACTGATGATGCATTAGCTCAGCGGGCCTAATAAGGGCTGTGGGGGTGGGGGGGAATAGGGGTTGTAGTGTGTGTTGGGGCTTGGTGGATAAAGGGGAATGGATGGATAGGAGCTGTTTGGGCAGCTTATACACCCAAAAACATTTTTAATAAAAAGAAAAAAGTTGGGTCCAGACAGTCCAGTCTCCTCCTCGGCATGCAAGTGTTCTGAAGAGCTTCCTCCTGGTCGGCCATGGGATTGCGGGACATGCTTCCTGTAACACTGATAGAGTAGTTCTGCACAGGCTGCCCTGATCAGTTACAGGCAGCCTGCATGCTGTGCTCATCTCAGAGCAGAGGCTCTGCTCCTGGAGCCTCTGACGATATTTTTTTTCCAGGCAAAAGCCGCAGACTGCACAAGACCGGCACATTGAGAGGCAGCCTAGTGGATCTTTGATAAGGCCCCTTGGCTGTCTTTTAGTGTGCTACAAAGCTCTCTGCTGACAATAACTATAAAACGGCCGACCAAGGGGGGAACTTCTGTAACAGCAGGGTCCCACAGAAGGTCGTACTGGCCCCTTACTGAGTGCAGGATGGCTGGGGAGCTTGTTCAACTCCCCAGCTGCCATTACATTATGCACCACAGACGGCCCCTCAGTCCATGGCAGATAGGCCCGATTGCTCAGTCTGCCCCTGGTGGTCAACAATCCTCCGCCAAAGAGATGGAAAAGGACTAACGCATAGAGGTGTGTTTACTAAAGCCTGAATTGTTAAGTTAAAAAATAAATTGCTGAATTTCTCAAAATCTGCCATTTGTTTTGCTAAATTTAGCAGTTTGAATTTCCATCCTCTAACGTTTTGGTGTTTAGTGAATACAGTCAGTGTTTTATATTAAATAAATAAAAAAGAGCATATGTCAATGTGATGTCATCACGTAGATTTGCCCCTGACTTTCATCCGCTGTAGGGAAATTACATCCAAACCTATCCGTGTCTTTGCAGGTGATGACTTTGATTTGTCAGATTTTTTTGATACTCCAAGCAAGCCAACGGCAAAGCCCCCCAGGCCACCTCCAAAGAAACCAGGTTAGGTACTATTACAGCGTGTTCCATTATATGCAGTGTCTCAGAATACTACACATTTATAATATGTGATCACTTCGTGGTCTGTGAATATTTTTATTTACTTATATGTAACGAATGTATTTGCCCAGGGGAGCTGAGAGGGTGCAAAAATATCTGGAGAAGAATTTCATCATTTCTCAGTCATGGCTCTTTCCCACCATCACCTCTTAAAGGGAACCTGTCATGGCCCAAACAACTTAATTTCATTAGATTGAGCATAAGATTCAGTCTATAGAGTTTTGCTAACAAATTAATAGATTAGAAGCAACACCTATTTAAAAATAATTTTTTTTCTCCCAGCTGTCCGTCAAAGCCTTGTGTGCCGAGGCATTGACTGACAAGGGAGAGCAGAAAAGACAAGAGGTCCTTCAGCTCTCCACCCACTGCGTTGTGGTTGCTATGGAAATTCCCTAGCTGGCGCTTCTGGCACTGGTTCTAGAGTACAGGAAGTGTTGTGACGACACTCCGTTCAGATGACGTCCCTCTGGCAATGAAGAAAAATGAAAGAAGACCTTGGGAGGAGCGCAGGTGGAGTGAAGGATGGCCAGGACACAAAGCGGCGCTGGAATGAAGGAAAAGTGAGTAAATCTAAAATTCTACATTGAACACACCATGCATCTCTGTGATATATGTTGTATTCAATCTATATGGGAGCAATTTCAGGTACGTTAATTACTATATGCCTCCCAGGGTGTCTTCGCCGTCTAACACAGGTTATTTTGTTACTCAATGCTGTCAGTGGCTGAGCTGTGTGCATACATTTGATAAGGAAGTGTTTTTCTGAATGAGGGGAATGTGGCTAAAAAGGCATGCTTACTGTGCAGCATTCTGCAAAACATTTATTTATTTTCTGCAAAACTATAAAGATTTGAGTATGCAAAAAATACAGCATATTAATGAGGCCATATCCTATTAAATGCATTAAAGTAGTATTGGTGCCCAGAAGGCCCATTTAACACCAATAATGTGGTTTCATGGCATTTACTTATTATTTATAAATGTCTCTCTGCAGGTGACCTGGATTTGTCAGACTTTTTTGATACCCCAAGTAAACCCACTGCAAAGCCAGCTAGACCAACCATAAAACCCCCTCCCAAAAAACCCGGTGAGTAACAAATACGTTTTTTTTTTGTTTTTTGTTTTTTTTTCATTGCACAAACTTTGACTTGATTTATACCCCCTTATAAAGCACACATTAGCTAGCCATTGGACGACTTTCTCTTGCAGTATAGACAGATGAGCTTCTATTAGACCGCATTTGCCAGACATCGCTATCATGTGTTAAAAATTGTACCTTGAAAGCTTAAGGGACAGGATTGAACACCCCTTTATTTACAGTTTGGAATTTCTTGAACGTATGCATTTTTGGTGGTGAAATTACACTTAGTTGTATGTTTACTTTCAGCAACAACAATAGGCGGACACCATCCATGTGTTTGACAGTTTATTCAAAGTTCCTCAGCAGTGGTTTTATTGTTTTTTTGTTTGTTTTTTACCTACAGAGATACAGATTCTCAAACTTAGGTGTATTAATATAAATGTGCTAAGGAGACTGTTATGCTTGTTGGCAGTACTATACTTCAGATCTAGTACCCCTATGTTAAAATGTCTAGAAATATACAGTCAAGGGAAAAAGAAAGTACATTCTCTTTGCATTCTATCGTTTCCCATATTAAGGTATAATAGAATGATCTGTTCCTTAGCGGATCTTAAAATTAGGTAAATACAACATCAGATGAACAACAACACACGACACATTACACAGTGTCGTGATTCATTTAACAAAAATAAAGCCAAAATGGAGAAGCCATGTGTGAACAACTAAGTACACCTCTGATTCAATAGCTTGTAGAACTACCTTTACCATTAAAAACTTGAAGTAATCGACTTTAGCAATCTCTCACATGGAATTTTTGCCCACTCTTCTTTACAACATTGCTACAGTTCATTGAGGTTTTATGGAATTTGTCCATGCACAGTTCTCTTAAGGTCCCGCCACAGCATTTCAATTGACCTCCAGTGGGCCATTGCAACACCTTGAGCCATTTGAAGCCATTCTATTGTAGATTGGTAGGTGTGCTTTGGATCATTGTCCTGTTGCATGACTCAATTTTGACCAAGCTTTAGCTGTCGGACAGATGGCCTCACATTTGACTCTAGAATACTTTGGTATACAGAGCAATTCATGGTCGGTGCAATGTCTGCAAAACAAGCCCAAATCATCATCCCTTCTCCACCACCATGCTTGACAGTTGATATAAGGTGTTTGTGCTGATATGTTGAATTTTTGCCTAGTGTGTCACTGTGCGTTATGACCAGGAATCTCCATTTTTGTCTTATCTGTCCAAAGGACATTGTTCCAGAAGTCTTGTGGTTTGTTCAGGTGCAACTTTGAGAGAAGAAGCTTTTTTCTGGCAACCCTTCCAAACAAACCATACTTGTTCAGTCTTTTTCTAATTGTACTGTCATGAACTTTGATTTTTAACATGCTTAGTGTGGCCTTTAGAGTCTGAGATGTAACTCTTGTTGTTTGTTTTTTTTGCAATTTCTCTGATATTTGCACGGTCTGACCTTGGGTTGAATTTGCTGGGAAGATTGACAACTGTCTTCAATGTTTTTTCCACTTTTGAATAATCTTTCTCACTGTAGCATGATGGACTTTATATTGTTTGGAAATGGCCTTATATCCCTTCCCAGTTTGATGGGCAGCAACAATTGCTTCTCTAAGATCATTGCCGATGTGCTTCCTCATTGGCATTGTGCTAACACACACCTGAATGTTCCAGACCAGCAAACTGCTAAAACGTTGGCTTTTATAAAGGTGATTGTGACATTTTGCCCTTTGCCATTTACTCCAGGAGAGGCCTGCTTGCCTGCCTCTTGCCTTGTGACTATGGCCCCTGGGATATATTGCCCTTTATAAACATTATTCGGGCTTATGGACTTTTATTAGACTGTTTCTGGCCCTTTAAATGCTCTGGGAAAAGATCTGTTCTTTTGCTATGGCACTTCGGATGCAGCCGAAGTAGTCGAAGTGGCCGCCATTCGACAAACGAACACGTGGTGGTGGACATTTTAATTCAGCCGAACGCGGTCAGCGGGCTTTTGCCGTTGAGTTCATGGAACTAAAATCGGATACTCGGCGGCACGAACACCGCTGAAGTTTTACCTTCTTTGTGACTTCGACGCTTCGACAGTAGTCTAACGTCATTCGACTATACAAACGCCACATTAACATTACCTATTTTCACGAACGGCCGCCGTTCGTCCGTTCGAACGGCATTTGAACTGTGATGAATATCCACGTGGGTGGTAACCTTGTGGGGAAATGTGTATAAAAGAAGCAATAAAACCTCAGTGCATTCTGTTCCTGTTTGACCCTCAACACGTAGTCTTGTCTCGTGATTGGAGGGGAACTGCTATAATCACATTGGGGATTGCTATACCATGTATATTCCCCTTAGCTTTAATCACTTTGCTCTTTTAAGAGCTGTTCCTGATTGCTCTCCCACACGGTCCTGGAGGAAAGAGGCTGATCCAGGGTGGAAGGAAGACTGCTAGACTCCAGTTAAGCTACGGCGGTTGTGGAGTCTGCGGTGCTTGTGGTCCTCGGCGCAAGCTAGGAAGCGACCATCAACGGAAGGTACTCGCTCAGAGTACAGGTGATCCGTTACAGTGGTCACACTTGCTGATGATCAGTTAAAGGACCACTCTAGGCACCCAGACCACTTCAGCTTAATGAAGTGGTCTGGGTGCCAGGTCCAGCTAGGGTTAACCCATTTTTCAATAAACATAGCAGTTTCAGAGAAACTGCTATGTTTATGATTGGGTTAAGCCTTCCCCTATTTCCTCTAGTGGCTGTCTCATTGACAGCCACTAGAGGCGCTTGCGTGCTTCTCACTGTGAAAATCACAGTGAGAGCACGCAAGCGTCCATAGGAAAGCATTATGAATGCTTTCCTATGTGACCAGCTGAATGCGCGCGCATTCAGCCGACGGGGAGGAGAAGAGGAGGATCGGAGGAGGAGAGCTTCCCGCCCGGCGCTGGAAAAAGGTAAGTTTTAACCCCTTTCCCCCTTCCAGAGCCGGGCGGGAGGGGGTCCCTGAGTGTGGGGGCACCCTCAGGGCACTATAGTGCCAGGAAAACGAGTATGTTTTCCTGGCACTATAGTGGTCCTTTAATCAAAGATATTTCATTATTAGAAGAACCAGTCTGCTACTTAGCCTCATAACTCCCATGGAAGCAGTAAGTGTGTAAAATGGCTTCTCCATTTTAGCTTTGTAATTTGTCATGTGGTGTTGTTCATCTGAGCCTGTATTTACCTAAATGTAAGACCTGCTAAGGCAGGGTTTGACAAATTTGCTTTGAATCTTGGAGCCAGCTAAAAAAGTTAGGAGCCATGCTTTTTTAAAAATTCCAAAGCTTTATTTTCAATTACAAAAAGACAATTCTTAGAGGGACATTTAATGTAGTGGTTCCGGTGTCTATAGCCTGTCCCTGCAGGCTTTTCAATATAAACACTGCCTTTTTAGTGATTAGGTAGCACCTCTAGTGGTTTATATAGCCACAACAGGCTTCCTATCTACTGCTGTAGCTTTACTAGTGTTCTAAATGATAATCTTTTTTATTTTCTTTGTCTGCAGATATACCCAAAAATCCAGGAAAAAAGCCAGGTAAGAGAACGAGAATTTCTATTACTCTACACCTTTGTTATCAGCAATATGCACATCTTTGGTGCTGAGAGTGGTCTCATTTAAAATCCTAAATTTAAGTTTTTCTTACTATATTTTAACTCATAGGACTGTTTATGCCGTCATGCAGGCTTTAATGTCCTATTACAAAGGAACCCCAGGTATTTTTTTTTTTTTTTAATCTCTGGGGCTTCCCTCAATCACTTGCGGACAGAATTAGAGGCGCCAGACTGAAATATACTCTGTTTACAGAAAGGGAGCACTGCAATGAGGGATTTAAATCCCCATTGTTACAATGCTGTGTGAGCAGGGTTAAATCCCTTCTGAAACCAGGAAACCCAGGTATCAATAGATACCCGGGGCCTGGGGCTCCCCTCTGTCAGCTGAATGTTTCCCTTCATACCCCAATAGCATTTTGGTCCAAAAATTACAAGGCATTGGGCATGCTATATTCACTAAAATTGAAAATTGTCATACCCAATAGGGCAAACATACCACTCTATTTTAGCTTCACATTTTTGCTAATATTATTAATATAAGCAGAGGGAACTTTGGGATTAGGTTAAATTAGGGACTAAGATTATTTATTTTATATTTAAAATGGGTTTGGAATTAATTTTAGGATTGTAATTTGTGTTTGGATTAGCAAGGGAATTCTTCTAACACTTTTTATATATATTAATATTAGGATTGAGGCTAAATTTGGGAATGTGCATGTTTAGGATAAAGGTAATGTTTATTATTAGATGTAGGGTTAGATTTGGGATTAGGATTTGGTTTAGGATTAATATTAAGATTGTTACTTTGCAAAGGTATTGCTCTACTCAGGAGATGTTGAGCAGTTAAGATTTTTAAAGAATTTTAAAAAAAAATTTAAAAGCCTAAAAATACAATATATATGTAACAATTTAAAAATAAATACCACAATCTTGGCAAAACTATTGATTTTTTTTTGGCTTCTTAATTAAGCTCAAAATATATATATTTTGTAAATAATATGCATTTATGGAGTAATTTAAAAATGTGAGCTACTAAAATGCCCCTAAATATATCTGCAAGCTGTCGGGTTTGAAAAAAAAAATAAATAAAAAAAAAAAAAGCAAAAATAAAATAATAATATACACTTGAAAATAAACTGCTGCTAAAATGGCTGTATAATAAGGCTCAAAATATATCATTTGACATACCCTGTAGGGTCTACTTTCACAAATAGTCTTACATGATTTGATGATTTGAACTGTGAAAGTGCTACAATGCTCACGAAATGCAGAATAAGCCCATCAAAGTCATCAATGGAAATTATTGTAAAAACTGAAATAGTCAGATCTCTTATATAGCACATATATACACATATATCTCGAAATACACTTATAATATACAATTCTTTAATTATATTTCACATATATAGGAAATAAAATTGTGTGTGAGTCTGTGTGTGTGTGTGTGTGTATATATATATATATATATATATATATATATATATATATATATATATATATATATATATATATATATATATATATATATATATATATACATATATATATATATACATATATATATATACATATACACATATATATATATATACATATACACACACACACCAAAAACACATTTATAAAAAAAAAAACGCTAACTTTGGCCAGCGTTTGTGAGCAAGTGGCTATTACAAAAGACTGGACATACCCCATTTTGAATACCCTGGGTTGTCTACATTTGAAAATGGTATGCCATGATGGGATTATTTCACATTCCTGGGCTACCATATGGTCTCAAAAAACAACACTGATCCAGCAAACTTAATTGGGCAAGCCCTATATTGACCCTGTAACTTTCCAAAACACCATAAAACCTGTACATGTGGGGTATTTTTATACTCGAGAGACTTCGCTGAACACAAATATGAGTGTTTAAAACAGTAAAAGGTATCACAACAATGAACTCACCAGTCAAAGTGCGTTTTTTGTGTTAAAAATAAATAAAAAATTCACTAAAAACAAATATGAATGCTAACTTTGGCCAGCGTTTGTGACTAAGTGGCTTCTACAAAAGACTGGACATACCCCATTTTGAATACCATGGGTTGTCTACTTTTACAAATGATATGCCATGATGGGGTTAATTTTCATTCCTGGGCTGCTATACGGTCACAAAGGCAACATAGGCCCAGCAAACCAATCTGGCAAATTTTAATGTGCAAACATGAAAAACGGGAAAGCCCAATCTGGCAAATTTTAATGTGCAAACATGAAAAACGGGAAAGCCCTACCTTTGACCCCTGTAAGTTTGCAAAAACCCATAAAACATTGGAGGAGATGTTGCTGAACACATATTGGGGTGTTCTTTGGCAGGAACACATAACAGGAACTGAAAATCCATGATTTTGGGGGTCAAAGTTCCAAAAAGAGTTGTTGTTTTTTTTAAATTTTTGTCATATTTTATAATTATTTTTATAGTAAATTATATGATATGATGAAAATAATGGTATCTTTAGAAAGACCATTTAATGGCGAGAAAAACGGTTTATTATATGTGTGGGTACAGTAAATGAGTAAGAGGAAAATTACAGCTAAACAAAAACACTCCAGAAATGTAAAAACAGCCCTTGTCCTTAACGGTAAGAAAATTGAAAAACGGTCTGGTCACTAAGGGGTTAAAGACCTACTTATGAAGTTTACCTTCTGTTTTGTATTTTTTTTTTCTGTCAAGACATCCTTTTGATGTGAATAAGACTATCAGGGTTATTTACTAAGGTTCGAATTTCCAATAATTTAAAGTGAATTTCCGACCGGTACCGGGAGCTGTTGTTTCCTGTACCCGGCCGGACTAACAGGAAGTGAACACTCAGTGTGCACTTCCTGTTAGTCCGGCCGGGTACAGGAGACAGCTGCTCTCTGTACCGGTCGGACCAATAGAGGGCTCGGCCACGCTACAGAGAAGGAAGCTGACAGGAGGGAGCGCTCAGCGCTCCCTCCTGTCAGCCCCTCTCCTCAGGCTGCGCCCGGGCGGTGCGGTCCGCCCTCATGGACGCACCGCCCGGGCAAAGCTGCAGCCGCCTGAGGCTCTTTACAGAGCGCTCGGGCGGCTGCACCATGGGGGGGCCGGCGCTCCTGGCGGCGCCCCCTCCCAAGGGGCGCCCTAGGCGGCTGCCTAGTCCGCCTTACAGGTAGCGCCGGCCCTGAGAGCAAATGCCCGATGTGTCCAGTTATCGAATAGCTATAACATTCCCTTTCTTAAAATCGTATTTATTTATTTTTTTAGGTTTTTATTTTTAGAACCCTTTCAAATGAGATGGAAATACCTGTAATGTGTAATCGTTGTTTTGAAATATACATTTGAACTTTAACGAGTGCAAATTGTAAGATTAAAAAAAACACATTCCTCTTCATAGATAACTGATTTATATTTTATTGATTAACTCTACAGAATTATGTCGGCTGTTTTGAGAGTTCTAAATCTTTGCTGTAAGCATTTCTACACAATTCTACATAAATATAAGTTTTTCATGGTGATAGGTACCAAGATTAAAGCGGCACTGTCATGCCGAACTTTCCTTTCCTCAATCTCTTCCTCTTCCCCCCCTCTCTCAGGACCTGTTATTCTTTTCTTCCTGTCTTCTTTAGTTTTCTTTAAAATCATTTGCATTATATACACATGTAAGTGGGGTCACATAGCTTTCTCTTCTTCCTTTTTTTAAAAAAAAAAAAAAAGAGGAAAGAGAAAATGATATATTACATCTGTTGTATCTTACACAGTCAATCTTTCATCATTATCCTTTCTTTAGATATTATACCCATTTCCATATTTAGCTGATATACCAGTTACAAGCTTAATACCTTAGGTTGTTTTCTTTAAAACATATATACATGTGAAGGGTTATTCAGGGATTCCTGACAGATATCAGTGTTACAATGTAACTAGCGTTAATCTTGAAAATTAAATGTTTTGGAAATAGAAAGGCTACTTGTGCTTATAGCCCTATAACTTTCCAAAAAAGCTAAGAACATGTTAACATTGGGTATTTCTAAACTCAAAATTTAAAAAGTATTTCGCACGGGTGTTTTTTGATGGTTGTAGATGTGTAACAGATTTTGGGGGTCAAAGTTCCAAAAAGAGTTGTTGTTTTTTTAAAATTTTTGTCATATTTTATAATTATTTTTATAGTAAATTATATGATATGATGAAAATAATGGTATCTTTAGAAAGACCATTTAATGGCGAGAAAAACGGTTTATTATATGTGTGGGTACAGTAAATGAGTAAGAGGAAAATTACAGCTAAACAAAAACACTGCAGAAATGTAAAAACAGCCCTGGTCCTTAACGGTAAGAAAATTGAAAAACGGTCTGGTCACTAAGGGGTTAAAGACCTATTTATGAAGTTTACCTTCTGTTTTGTATTGTTTGTTTTTTTTCTTTCCATTTTTCCTGTCAAGACATCCTTTTGATGTGAATAAGACTATCAGGGTTATTTACTGAATTTCCAATAATTTAAAGTGAATTTCAGATTTAATTTAATTGGAGAATTTTCCCAGTTTGGTAATTCTGGCCTTAAATTTGAAATATTCTTCGAATTCCGGACACTTATTCACATTGAATAGTCCTCTTAGTTCTTACAGATTCATTTATTTTTTTCTCTTTTCTATAATTGAGATTGTTGAAATCTTTTCTTTTGTATCTTCATTTTGTGTGTGTATTTTTTTTTTTTTTTCTGAAAGATTCGGGTGGCTTTGACCTGGCAGATGCCTTGGATGAGAAGAATGATCCAAAAGGTTCAGGTATGGGGCAGTTGAAATTTAGAAATTACATTTTGTCCTTGTTACAATGAAGCCACTCTGTATAATGTTGCACAATTACAAATGCAAAATGTAATCCAGATGGTACAATCCGTTAAAGGGAATGGGTCCGTGCTGTCAGTGACGTCCTCACTTTGCAGTACAAGTCTAAGTCTCCCTCTTTACATTAAACATGTCTAAGTACCTGCTTCATCGTATGTTACCCATTACAAATGACAATAGATCCTCTAAGTGAAATTCATTTTAACTAATTTTTGTTACTTTTCACTTGGATCTTTCACAGATAATCTAGCAGTAGTTTATCAGACTTGTTTTTTAATTTGTATTTAATATATTACCTCCTGCATTACTAACATTTAGTGCAAAACCTCTTTATAATGCAAGAACCACTTCCTAAATGTTTACCAAACTTCAGTCTTGACACAATTGAACAATTAATTAGGCTACTGCAACGAGAGATAAGATAAGGTTTCTGAAAACGAAAAAATAGAGAGCAAATGCCCGATGTGTCCAGTTATCGAATAGCTATAACATTCCCTTTCTTAAAATCGTATTTATTTATTTTTTTAGGTTTTTATTTTTAGAACCCTTTCAAATGAGATGGAAATACCTATAAATGTGTAATCGTTGTTTTGAAATATACATTTGAACTTTAACGAGTGCAAATTGTAAGATTAAAAAAAACACATTCCTCTTCACAGATAACTGATTTATATTTTATTGATTAACTCTACAGAATTATGTCGGCTGTTTTGAGAGTTCTAAATCTGTGCTGTAAGCATTTTTAAAAAACAATTCTACATAAATATAAGTTTTTCATGGTGATAGGTACCAAGATTAAAGAGAAAGATAAGCCGGCTGGGGGATCTGGTAAGAAGCAAGTCTTCTGGCACAAAACTCACTTCTTTCTTCCACTTCAACGCCCTCTCCTATTCTGCTTTCTTCTTCTTTAGTCTCAAATAAACACATTACGCTAGTAAACCTTCGCTAGCCAGATGTTCTGCTAAGCACAGTTTACACTAAAAATGTATATTGTACCCATGTGTCTGTGGTTATCGAGGGCCAGATTTCATTCAACATACGATGATCATGGTCATTTAGAATACTTTTATGATGTGGTAATATTAATAGTATTTTCAGCATTTCCTAATGGGCTACACTTGCTTCATCAAAGTGGCCCTTCCGTACTTATATTACGTTATGTTACCATGGAAACAGATCCAGGTAGTGTGTAGCCCAGAAAAGTTGCTTAGTAAAATATTAAGTTTCACCAAACATTAGGATTTTATGTATTCTATTTTAAATTGTTATATGGTAATATAGTTATGGCATTTATAAACTGCAGTTTTCCGTTTTACTGTTGACTGAGAACTAAAATTAGATAGAAGCTGTTGCATACATCACAAATCAGAAATTATCAGCCAGGTTACTTACAGACATAATATGCTGGTCTGTTTAAAGTTGGTGAAATAATAAGTAGAATTGTAAATGTACGTGTCATATGCACTGACCTGTTCATCAATTCTTTCATGTCATGCTCTGGGAAGCAAGGAATTTAAAAGTACATTAAAAAAGGGAAAAATATCCAATTTAAATAAAGATCTTTTTCAAAATCACAAATATTACAGCACGGGAAAGAATGTGAGAAAATAACCATTTGCTGAAACCCCAGAGTATTCGTATCTCAAAATGTAGTAGTAACAGTGAGATCAATCTTAGGTGGATGATGTACTTTTAGAAACTCCAAGAATCTCGTTTGAATGTTGTAGGGGATTTCTGTGTTGCTTTCACATTGTCCAACTGTGGTCACGTGTTTTGTTTGGCTGAGACTACTGGGAATCATATCGTACAGAACAGGGGAGATTTATCAAGGCAAAACGGGTGCTAATATGTGTGAGATACATTCTGTTGGTTTCCATGGTAATTGGTCCTTAGTTAGCTGTTTTTGCTCAGAATAGCACCTGCTTTTGCTTTGATAAATTTCTCCCAGATATTTATTCTATTCAGACTGCAGTGATAGGCAGCCTCTGATTCTTCAATTGCTGTGGATTCACACTGTCATGAGAATAGGCAGCTGCTTGAATGCTAGAAGGGTCTACAAAGGAACCTGTTGGTTGGATTGATGCTTTTTGCTTCCTAATACACTTGTTTGTAGGTTCTGCATTCTAACTACTGTATCTTCTTACCTCCGTTTCATGCTGTGGTTGCGCATTGCAAATTAAAATGCTCATCTGTTAACATATTCTTATTTTAACTGTGCGATGTGTCCCTCTTTTAAAATGGCAAATACTCTACTCCCATTTAACATGAAATAATCTGTCTGCGTTTTTGTGCTGATTGTCAACAAATGTGTCTTTGTGGTGAGAATTTGACCTTTCTTAGTTGTACACAGCACACAGCATTGTTTCCATAGTAAAACAAGACTGCCGCCCATTTAGCTGTTACTAAATAGAAAATGACAAATTCCAAGTTATTGAATCCAGAATAGTACCTAACAGTGCAGTCTTTAAAGGACTCTTTGAAATAAACATTTATATTGTACATTCTCCTAAGCCAAAACTAAAGGGTTTAGTGACTACCAACGAATTACAGGATAATGCATTTGCAATAAAATCGGGAAATAATCCCAGCTTCGCTATTTTAGTCTGAATTTTGCATTTCAGTGTTTAATTAATTAGAAAAAATTAATAATAATTGGCGAATAGACCCCATGTATCCATGTATTTTCAGTGGATCCCTGTTCACTGGAAAAGAACCATTATATTATTCAATCTTGGAGGCATTATGTAGAAAGGAAACCTCTCTTTACAGAGTCACCTAATCAACCAAGCCTACGGAGCATCTCACTAAGTGACCAGTCAGTCACGTTTTCAGATTAGCCAGGATCTTATGATGAGTTTGTTTGTTTTTCCTCCTTAATCACTGTTGCAATGTATTGCAGATTTTTCGGATTCAGATTTAGAAGACATCGTGGGTGGCGGTGGCTACAGTCCAGACAAAAAGAAAGGTACTATGAATTCACTTGTAGTCCGATACATTCTCCATTCCTGGTTTTGTAAGACTAGGTTTGGCCAGAAGATCAGCCCCCATGTCAACTTGGTTAGTAAGACTTGTGTTACATTAAGGGGAATAAGGCCTTTGTCCAAGGTGGAAGACCAACGGGATGCTGTGCAAGTCCATTGGCCTACTGAAAAGAATTTAAGATTTTCCATTTACTGGCCTCTGCATTGCAAAATAGCACATGAACACATTGGTTGGCATATACCATTATCAGGACTAATACTCTATCTGATGAATGACACATTCAGCTGCTAAAGGAACACTAAATCACTTCTTTCTAAACGTTTTCCCACCATGGACCACTAGGGCTGATGCCCTCTCCCATGTCCTACACTTATGGATTCATACATAATACATATTCAGGAACACCACACACATAAAAAAAAATCCTTTTTAAATTTAACAAGGCTACTTAAAATCACCTATCTCAGCAAACTAATATGGGAAATCCGTTCCATCATATGGCCATACTGTTTTAAGCCCACCACTACTTAACAGCATCCTACACTAATTCAAACGCGAGAGACAAATCTAATAGTGCTAGTGCTAAATAAACTAAAGTGTATTTAAATAATCTGTTGTAAGAGCATTGTTAATATATAAAAAAATATATATATAAAATGATATAATTCAAAATTAATGTGTGAAACGCAATTTTTACAAAAATGCAGTGTCAAAACGAAACAATTCAAGTGATAGAGCTTTGATGAATATACGCAAAATGCAATTCATACATCTGCTGTATGAAAATTATAATTAAAGTGACATTACTATCCAAAACCGCCTCAAATATATAGCTGTGGTCACCTCCAAAGGGGCCTCTGAAGCTGGGGAGCTGGGCATGTTTCGGGTGTGCCCCCACTTCCTTTTTGTCCTTACTACACTTATAGATTGGCAGTGTGGTGGGCTTATTCATGAAAGGGGTGAGGAATTACTTGGAAGGAACGGGGTTCAGTGACCTGGACAAGGACACGATAAGGTGCAGGAAAAGATAAACTACAGAACACGGAATATAGACCAGTGAAAGAGAGAATTTAATGAGATGTTGAGATAGATATGGTGGAGAAAGAATATATTTGTAGACGCTTGGCCTGTACGCACAGTCTGAGTTTGCCTGTCCTTACTCATTGGTCAATCCAGGTCTTAATTGGGACACACAAATGGACATCGTCTTTGACATTTTGTTTTTTTGGAGCAGCATTCCTTCTTGCTGCCTGAGGATTAATGAGGTGTACTGACGTAATACCATGCAACAAAGAAGGGTTTATATGCGTTTTTTTTTTTCCTCAGGTGGTCATGGAGGTGGTGGTGGTGGCTCAAACGGATATTCAGGAGCAGGCGGTGACTCTGGTTCTGGTGGGTGTCATTAAACATTAGCAGTGAGTTGATTAAAGCTTCCTTCTGACTTGCAACATTCTTGCAAATATATGAGCTGTGACAGTATCTCAGCTTGTTCAAAAGAAAGTAATTTCAAAGATTATGTTAAATATTGGAAAAATATTAGATGTTATTTAATACCTAGAAACTATCTAGGTCCTATTTTATTGCACATGTGAGTTACACACAGTATTATTATTAAACATACTCACTAGGTTTGGGAATCCCTGAGTAGAGGTGAAATGTTGCCAGTTAGGTGAAAAGTGTCACACATTTAATCCACAACCTATCCAGTATATTGATACACGGCTCTGTGTTATGTCTGTCTACAACAGCACTGTACGCATCTATAACCATTTTTAAAATGGCTGCTTGGTTTTCACAGGAGGTTCAGCAGAGCCTGTAACTATTGCAGGGGTGGCAAGCGGCTTGGCTATGGCATTACTTGGTGCTGTAGTGAGTTACATTTCATATCAACAAAAGAAGTTTTGCTTCAGTATACAAGGTACGTTTATTTACACAATTCACTTACATGATCTAAAGATTATTCGGAGCACAGGAAACACTAGTATCTGGTGCTGAGATTTTGTAGACACCATTAACAGAGTTTTCAGGCCTGATTGTCTGGCACAAGAGTGCAAGTACTGAGGTGACCCAGAGTCTCTCGCCCCTCCCCCCTCAAATCACTAAAGGCAAGTCTACTGTCTAGCAGCATCCTACATTTTTGAAGAAGTGGTGGGACAACCTTAGAATCATCTTTTCAGAGGCACAGTGATCGACAAGATGGACCTTTCCCTCCATAATCTCTACTATATAAGAAACAAACCACAAATTGTTTTCTCGCTTGTACCACACATCTCAACTCCTACATTGAATCTTGCTTAGTATTCTTAATACATGCTGGAGGGGCTAAACTGTGGTTGGAACAATGATACACAGCTGATGGGACTGCCCACTTATAGCTTCATATTGGCAAAAGTGTACCCTACTATAAATTTATTTTGGGATTGTTCCCTCTTAGCCATATGATATTACCTATTTCCAAATTTAAGAAATCCCTGACCAAGCATTTCCTTAATACAGCTAGGATGTTGATCACTGCCTTCTGGAAAAAGAACTTGGCCCAGAGCCTGGCACAATGGGTGGCCTATATTAGGTCCATCATTCTGCCAACTCACAGGCTATTTTCTGGTGAAACAAGATTTTGAGAGAGCAATGGCCTCCACATATTTATTTTTGCTGAGCAGGTGCCCATGTGTTTAAGTTCTGCACACGTGTATCACTAGATCAAATAATTATACTCCATGTTTTGTTTGTCTCGTGAATTTCCATAAAAATGTGGAAACCATTTGTGGAAGATCAGAGTTCCCTGGATCCTTGAACAACTTTCAAGGTTATGTGTATATATAGTCCTGTTGCAAGGCAACACAAAGATCCAGAGAAGACTATAAGCGTGGATCTTGCTTTCTAGAGGTCTTTTCCAAGGACTTGCTTATTCTGCAGCACACAACACTTTATCCTGGAAATAGAAATGTCCAGTGAGCCATAAAGAATCATGCCGTTTATGCCTTGAGGGTTTAGTAATGTGATATTGACAGTCTGCACAGCACTCTATTAGCAGCCTACAACTGGATATAACATATACTAGACAGATTATATTTTATGGGATTTAATTAAGACATTCTGCCCTCCTCACCCTATTTGCTATATTAAAATGCATTATATTTACACAGCTATGAAAAATTGTAAAAAAAAAAAAAAAAAGGGCCCACTCTCCCCTGGAAAAAAACATGGATGTGATTTTGCTTTGATTCTTATGTTTTGGTTTATGCCAAGTGAAAGGCTAATTAATTACAACAAACTCCGTACTATTTAATGTTTTGTTTTTTTGTTGTGGATGGAAGGTAGTTGCGGTGGGGATGGACATAAGGGTATTATTGACTGGTGCGTGGTTTGGGCAAAAGAGTGCATGGTTAACAGTCTGTGGGGCTATTATATTGCTACTGTATGTCAATGTATCTTCTCAGGTCTGTCCCTAAATAAAGTAGTCGTTGGTAGGCAAGTTTCCTGGAGACGTCCGTTACTGCTTGTTATAGTCAGAACTGTTTTGGAAAGTGATAGGTCTGCCATTATGGTTATAAAGATTAAGCATTCAATAGGCAGACTCATTCTCTCCCTGCTTTAGCAGAGTGCTAGGATCTGTTCTATTGTACAGTGCTGTTAGTTTTCAAAGCCATTCAATTATGCTGTTTCTTGTACTTTCTACTTACAGAGAGCCTTAATGCAGAATATGTCAAGGGGGAACAGGCAGAAGGCGTAGTGTGTGAAGAACCGCTAGGTAAGGATTATGTTTGACTGTAATGTGTGTTTCCCTGATAAATTCTATATTTTCCTCTAAATTCCTTCAGTGCCTAGAACAAAATACCTTTACTACATGTACACAGAGACAAACACAAGCATTTACAATACTAAATAATTTTTTTTTTAAAATGTTTTAACCTCTTTTACTGCTTTTGACTGTTGTGTACTTTTTAAATTAAATCTCATTTTAATTCCTGTGAATGTCTAGATATGTGATCTGTAACAAACACGTCACCATGTTTCAGTAGAATGAAACCATGTAATTAAAAACACTTTTTGGGGTTTAATAGACAAGAACTCTTTAAACAATACAAGAATCCAAACTGATGATCCAGTATCTGACCTCTGATTGATGCTGGGAAGAAAAATCTATATTTTTTTAATTGTAATTATAATTACAGTATATCACAAACCTCCAGGAATATAATATAATATAAGTATATAAAATCATTGTCTCTAGCGAAAAATAGACCAAAATATGCACAATTCTCTCACTACAACTCCTCAGCCAATTTCTCAAGGTAAACTTTCTAGCCACTTGCTGTGGAACTAGAAAATTACGGTATGTAGCACAATGTAACAAAAAAGTAATAAAACTATGTACATACGGTTTCTCACCACTCCATTCTGAGAAGCCTGATAGGTGATGGGTAAATGAAACTGGAACCTTACCACAAAAAATAATAAATACAAAACATCCTCCTGCATTAATACCCAGTATAGATTGAAAAAAATAATTATACAAGAATTGCTGAACCTTTAATAGTATTTACATGAGCGTAAACCCGGGTACAAGTTTTGTATGCAAGTGCGGGAACCTTCTCACAGTCTTAGGCCATTTTAAAACAAACAAGGGGGTGAAGTGAAATTCTGTGAGCAGTGGTTTTTCATTCAGTTTTCTAGTTTTCTAGTTTCCTGTATACTAACTGCTTCATACGTTTTACCACTTTAGTAAAATATTCAGTGGAAGAACAAACCGCCGCTCCTCCAACACAAGATCCTTCCAAGGTGTGAACATCCCATCCACGACACCAACACAGAGAAATGTTGCCAGCCACGTAATCGATGAAGCCTGTATGGGCGTATTTTAATTGGGCTTCAAGATAATGGACAGCTTCTTAAAGAGTTTTATGTTTACGTTTTAGTGACAGGTCAATTTTATTTATTTTTTCCTCGTTGATATGATCAAATAATGATGTGTTTTTAATTAATAACATTATCTGGAAACCATTTTTTTTTTTTAATTTAATTTTTTTTTTTTTGCATTTGTGAAATGGAAGTAAATCTTTACATTACTCTAGTGCTCAACACGAGATATTAATATACCCAGGAGCTGAATGGGAGCCCCTCAGGCTACTGCTGTTAAAATCCTTTGCTTGTGTGAGTTTTCAATAAACAAGAAATAGATTCTTCTGATCCTTGAGATCCCTAAATCCTTTGCAGGCACAATCAAAGCAGCCCAGTGTTTGACAGCTGCAGTTGGCCACATTTTATACCTAAGCTAGATGCCTTGTTATAAATTGGGGAAAAAATGTTGATTGAAGCAGGAACAATGCTGGTAACATGGATGGTTTTATATATTTATTTTTATGTTGCTTTTTTATGACACTGCTCTGTTGGCGCACACAGTTACACTTTTTTTCTTTTTAGACAAGATAGGAGAAGTGTGCATGACACACACACACAAAAAAAAAACAAGTCTCTGGCCACACAAAATTCTGTTATTTCATCTTTTTTAGTCTGACGTTCTTAGTGGGTATATAAACGACAGGCAATCGAGGTTTACAGACTATCAGCAGCAATAAATCACTTTATTAAAATGAAGTACATTTGGTGCTTAATTTTGTACTACCTTTTTTTTTTTACTGCATTATCAGAGCATCCTCATCAGCTACCAAGAGCACTGCAAAGGTCGATTTAAGTATCTCTCGCTTAGTCCCGTCTGTGTTTAAACATCTCCTGTCGCTGTATCATATCTGTAGCAAGTCAGTTATCACTTTTCAGAAAGATGCAATTAGACCATTTTCCATTTGCTGTAATTTGGTGATCAGTTGCCACCTGGAAAATACCAATATTCTGTGTATCATGGAGAAAGTTCTAAAACCATCCACTGCATCTTGATCCACTTCAAGAGATATAGTCTCACCAAAATGACATTTGATTTATTGATAAAATGTATGTCCTACTACCAGGAAATGTAGTTTAACAATGAACATGCCTCAGAGTATAGTTATACTGTATGGAGTCACTGACATAGAAGACTATTTCAAATACAGTGATTCATACGGTTACCATGTTTCCAGGGACATATATCACATATACAGAATGATGGGCAGCACCTGAAAAGGGTTGCCCTATAGTATGTAGAATTCCAATGGTGGTGTATAAGATTAAGTAATCAGGCAATGAAGAATCCTGCAGAATATCTATTTTACATACTGCAGTGAAACCCTTTTCATGCGTTTTCATAAATATAACAAATTTCTGTGTGTCCCTGAAAACATAGTGGCTATGGTAACCCTATGAATACACATGATTTAACTGCCTGGGCAGCCTGTTGCAATTAACACATCAAGCAAGTTTTTATTTTAATGATGATGATCTGTGTGTAGATAGATAAAGAATATTTATTATTAATTTATTTACTTTAATATTAAAATTCCTTAGAGCATTTTATTCCAGATGAATAGGTTTTCCCTGTACCTACTTGTACCCCATGTATACGGCTCAGAGAGCCTTAATTCAAGTGTATGGATTCATTCTTGGCCGATCTTTGCCAGACCCAGTCTGTTCTGAGAGAGGAGTTTACAACATACTTTGTATGTTTAGTGTGTCTCCTCTCATTCATTAACGTTTAAGAATAGGATTTGATGATAAACCCATCACTTTCTCACAGAGTCCGGAGATCTTCTGGGGATAGACTGCAGGGAGATTTTATTCAGTTATTAAAAATATTAACTTTTTTTCTGTTATTGTGGAGGAAAAGTCTGACATTGTTTTTTTTTCGCCCTTTCCATCTAATCAAACAATCCTTATGTAATCAGAAACCTAAAACGGAGAGTAGTAATTGCATGCTTTCTGGATGCTGTGCCTTCTCCAGGCTTGTTTTCCATCATCCTGTTATTTTGCAGTCTTTGCTCCAGTCGTATACGAAGACTCAAGCCATGTTATACATTGCTTGTATAGGTTTCATACACACATGGGACACTATCTTTATAAATGGATATATAACCATAAAGCACCCAGGAACACTAGATCAGGGGTGCCCAAAAGGTAAATCCCCAGATAGTGTAGAACTACAGCTACTTTGATGCTTTGCATGCCTTTAGAATGACAAAGCATCATGGAAGCTGTAGTTTTAAAACATCTGGAAATCTACCTTTTGGGCACCTCTGCTCTAGATTATGCACTCCCCTTTACAAATTAGAAAAAAAAAAGTAACTCACCAAAACCACTGCTTCACCCTCATCTGCGATCATCACTAGGATAATCTTAAATCCAATCCAGTGCTTTTCCATAGGGGAAACACCGACAGTGTTTTCCCGGTGCTATGATCAATGATATATTCATGAATTTGCCCTCTCACCCCCACCCCACACAATAACAATAACCCACATCCAAACACATTTCTCTCTCTCTCCCCCCTATCCCAGCAGACCCCAGGTAAGTTTTCAAACTGTTCTTAAACAGTTTTACTACTTACTCTTGGAGGGCACTACTGGCACCATAACCACTACAAAGTGCTGTAGTGGTTATTGTGCCTGGAACGTTTATTTAAATAATCTACCAGTGCCCCTATCAAGATTAGGTTCTGAATCTGCGCTTGAACAGCAAGCATTTCTGCTGACCAGGGGCCCAGAAAATGCCGCTGCGCTGTACATATATACAACCTAATAACATTTTTGACTTGGGGGCGCCTTGAACCTTAAAAGTTTGGGACTAATAGGGAGACTAAATTGTGTTTGCATGGTCATGATGCTGAATCTAAATATCTTCAGAAAATGAGGATGTTCTAGGAGGAAGTGCCTCAAATGGTTTTCTGATTGACAGCCACTAGAGGGTGACTGGCAGACAAATGGAAACATTGCTGTTATTCTCAGAAATAACATTTATCAGACTGAAGGGACAGCTTCTTGGCACTAAGATTGCTACACTTAGTTGTAGTGGTAATGGTGCTTAATTTCCCTTTACACTGTATGGAGGAGAAATACTCTATGTGCACACTGCATAGGATATTAATTATAATCTTATGCATATTTCTGAGGGATTTCTCACATTTTGTGAATGCCACTAAATGTTCTTTTCAGCAAGAGGAGTTTGCATTCCATTGTTATTTAATTGTCCCTGCTTTAACTAAGTAATGGCTGATTATATACCTGTTATTGTATTGCTGAGGGATAAATGTATGAACAAACCAAAGGTCCTTTTTCTCAGGGTATCTGGGTCAATACTAAGCCCCCTTCAATCCAGGCTGTTGTCAACACTGTGGCTTATTTTCCTTTCCTATTAATGTGTTTTTTGGTTTTCTCACATAATGGTCTTGGCTAATTGTGAGCTGCTGGGGAAAGTGATATGAGTGTATACAAAGCTGCTAACTACATGATTCAACTTTACTGCACAGCCATACTATCAACAGTGCTGTATCTTTTATTTACTTATTACTGGCATTTATAGAGCACCGACCTATTCCGCAGCGCTGAATGTTGCTTTGTTTGGCATACTCACTGTGCTGGTGCACATGGAACACTTTCTAACTATCTCCATCCATTGCCAGTAGAAATACAATATTTAACTGAATGTCACCAAAAATGACATTCTGTAAGTAATGTAATCTTGGTAGTCAATCTATGTAGGAGTCTCCCCTTTCTGTTGGGGAGAGCCTGTGGGTTGGTTTGTAAAGACCCATGGCCGTCTCTTCTGTATCTCTGTGATTCTATGTTAAATTACACTCTAAATCAAAGGTTCCATCAGACATATTTACCCCACTATGGACTGTCCTTATAGCCTTGAGGTGAAGCATCAGAAAATCTCAGTTGCGCACTCAGCATAACCTTAGTCCCGTGTACCTTGTGCGGTTATGTGTGAAGATGTCCATATGCTTTCTCGAACGCTAATCAGAGAGTGCTGGAGGAAGTCTAAATGACAAGCTCATGTCATATTACTATAACCATAATATGTGATTAGATTATAGGATATAAGAGGAAATTGAGAGACACACACAGTGCTCTGCAACACTGGTTAACCTCTAAGAACCAATTATACATGACATCACAATCCAGTCTGCATGCACTATCCAAATTCATCAGGTTTAGGCACAAAAGTGAGCATTGTTGGAAATGCTAAATTAATTTCAAATGATCAAAATTGCCAACCTTGAAAAATAAAAGGATTAAAGTCAGCTATGTTTCAAGTGTTGGCCTTCAATTTGAAATTCACTTTAAATGACTATTTGTTGTATGCTGACTTTTGGTGAATAGCCCTTCATGACTATTACTAGAAGTCCTGCTATAGTTAAAGGTGCGGGGTGCTTCATGTCAGAGGAGGCTTTCTGAGGATTTCAGTTTTGCAGTAGCAGACAGATATTGGTCCAAAACAAACTAAACTCACCTTAAAATAATGTTTGCTATTTTTGGTGAAGACTAAGTTTGGATTCATGTCTCACACTCTAAGTGACCTCATTAAGTTATTTTAGGTTTAAAGCCATGTGGAAATTCTCATACAAAGGTTTAAAGGGATTCTCCAGTGCCAGGAAAACATTTGTTAAAACCCCTTCAGTGACTTACCGGAGTCCAGCGCCGATGTCCCTCGGTGCTGGGTCAGGCTTCGCGCATTAAACAAGGTTTTCCTATGGGGAGTTCGGCGACGCTGGAGGACCTCACATAGCGTGAGGACGTCCAGCGTTGCTGAAAACACTTTTCGTGTATTGTGAACACGGAAGTCCCTCTAGTGGCTGTCTACTAGACAGCCACTAGATGAGGATTTAACCCTGCAAGGTAAATATTGCAATTTATGAAAACTGCAATAATTACACTTGCATGGTTAAGGGTAGTGGGAGTTGGCACCCAGACCACTCCAATGGGCGGAAGTGGTCTGGGTGCCTGGAGTATCCCTTTAAAGGTACAATTAAAGCCCCATAACTTATGGTCCTGATAATGGAACTGTAGCAAGCACAGAGCTAAAGATCCTATAAACCACTGGGCAAATTTTTACGTTATATATTGTTTCCATTGAAAATGATGGGGGACACCCCAATTAGCGGAGGTCCTTCCTGGTCTAGGCAGCCGCTGCATGGTTGGAACTTCCTGCCTTTATTTGAGAGTTCTTTTATACTTTTTATTGCTATGTGATAAAGGGGTAGATAACGGGCCTCCTACCACAACATAGGAGGAAACCAGCTCAACAGGTCTCCTTACACTACAGCCTGTGTTTATTGCTTTTGCTGTGCTCAAACTCGAACAATTAAATTTGCACAAATTAAAAAAAAAATAAATTAAAATGGCAGATGGATATTTGAAAATAGCTGCACATCCACTGTATGCTTAAATGAGATCATGTACGGTTGTGGAGCTCTTTACATGAACACACTATGTGTTTAATTATAGGAAGCCAACAATATCTCTATTTTCTGATTAGAGTTATCGTCCAAAGCAATAGCTGTGTTATTACAGATGTTTGTAAACTGCATTTCCTACAATATCTAGCCTAAGGCAGTGGGCAAATTGGGTATTACTGGGATTGTTTGACACAGACATCAGTGTCACGCTCACAGTCAAAGTGGTGCAGCACATATTCCCAAGTTGTGGATTAGAATCCTGATTTTTTTCTAATAAATCATGTTGAGAAAAAAGGATTTTAATGTGCTGACTCTGCTACCGTTTACTTCCCCACATTCAAATGAACTACTCGAGTGGAATCATGTGTATGGTTTTGTGATACCAGGCATTTGAAAATAATACTTTGTTTTCCTTTTGGATTATGTATATTGGCTTGTATTTTGCAGTATCAATATATAGATTGTTTAACCCCTTAAGGACACGCATGATTCCTTTTTATTCCAGAAGTTTAGTCCTTAAGGGGTTAAAAGCTCTACATTTATACTGCTTTAAATATATTTTAGAAGATGGTTTTTAAAGAGTCTTTAAGACGTTATGTACAATCTTATGCAAATTGCTTTGCGAATCATAAAAGAAAATGTACACTTGTTTTTTTTTTTTAATTTCTTTTAACTAAACCATAAATGTTGATGACTGAGCTAACGGGAGAATCTTTCTAATTTGGTTGGAATTTTCCCAGTTTGTATCACTGGAATTCACCATTAACGGGTTTATTTCAAGTTAATTAAAATAGGGTTACAAAATTGGTGAACACTGTTTCGTTGTCACAAAGGGCATTTAAATTATGTCACTTCTTTGGAGTATGCACGGGGGGGAGGGGGCACAGGGGTACATGTAGTCTGTATAAGAAAAACTCTTATCGACTGTTCACGTCTGACTGTTACAGATATTAGCGGATGTCCAACATTAGCAGACTGCTAATATAAGTTTACCTACCGCAGTTAAAGGTTTGTGAACAGATTTTCCATATTGTGTTAAACTACAGATGAATTGTTTGGGAATATGTAAAGCTAATAAAAATATTAAAGTAAAAGCGTGTGATCAGTTTTTTCAAAATGGTATGTTTGTTATTGAAGACACAGTAAAAGTATATACCGGTAGTTTGAAAAACTCACAATTTTACAGATGGTTCATCATGTTAAAATAACCGTGATGGTCAGTCATCGTGATAGTCTTCTGCATTCTGGCTGTAAAGTATTTACTTCTTTAAGAATTTCTTAATAAACATGAGACAATTAAATCTGTTATGGCTTTTCCTTGTGTGAACAAAGAATATAGAATTTTTCATGATGCCAGACATTAAAATTACTTTAAAACTACTGATCATTAAATGACATAGTGAAAAGGGACACTAGAGTCACCAAAAAAATAAAAGCTTAATGAAGCAGTTTTTTTCAGTATACATCATGCCCCAGGAGTTTCACTGCTCAATTCTCTGGTTCATTAATCTAAAGTTGCGTTAGTGACTATAGTGTCCCTTTAAATTCAGGATCAGGCATGTCAACATGACACTGCAGGTTCGAAATTAAGACCAATTCATTTTTTTTCTCAAGAGTAGGTGCAATATTTCTTAATGGCTTTTCCCCCATTAGGAGGGTTACAACCGTAAATATTAAGTGGTGATTGTTTTATATGAAAATTCTTCCATCCTGCATAATAACACTCTAAACATGTTTAAATAAAAAAACATTTAATAAACTTTAACAGAATACTCAGTTACCAAAAAAAAAAGTGCTACCATGTCAGTTTACACTATATACAGTGAAGGAGTAAACCATGTTTGTGCTCACAATTAACACAGAAAGATAAATATTCATATGGAAGAAAAAAAAAATAACAGATCACTATCATGTAACTAAAATATCTATTGTGTGCATCATATGAACATTATAACCACACATTTGGCAGGGAATGTCTTAAGTAAATTACTGGGATAACCGGACAATCATGCAATAAATATCAATGAATGCATATAGAGCAATTGAACCATAATACATGAGCTAAATTTCTCCACTGAATTTTAGAGAACCGCACGAAAAACACGTCATCATGAAATACAAGTTGTGCACCAAGTTATTTGTACATGTTGGCAAAAAAAAAATTAAAAAAAACAATCTGTTTTGACTTTTTAAATGTTTCCTACTGATTACATTTATGTGAGGACCTGTCCTAACAGTTAAGCGCCTCCAACCCCTCTGGATATTGGAGCCAGGTACCGTTCCTTTCCGGCTCTCATAACCAGGCATGCGCAGTGCCGTCACGGCTTGTCATAGACTATCATTATGTTCAGTGATTCAATAAGACAAGAGAATCATTTGATTGCGACAAGCACTGTGCATATACTAACTGTCCCAATGCTCTTCTATGACTAGCACTGTACAAGACAGTCTCAGCCGAGAAGGAGCGTGCGGCAGCGCTGATGGGGACTTGGCGCTGGAGAAAAGGGCCATTTAAAGAAACACTCCAAGCACTAGAACCATTGCAGCAATTTGGTAACTGTTGATAAAGTGTCCTTCAAAAGCAAAATGCGTGGTATGTCTCCTTTTCTCCCCCTAATGTATTTTTAGTACTTTGGTAAATTTTTCTGTGCTGGTTACCTGCCATTGTTTTATGTTTTGGGTATATTTTTGAAGAACTAATTGTAATAACTCTGATGTAATGTTTCCTTTGGCAGAGGGCACAATTGTGAAAATTTCATTCAATTTCATGTCAGTGTTCACCAGTGTAATCCAAAAGTTAAGTAACTAATTGACTTCTTATGGGGTTTCTTGAGCGATGTTCCCCACCTCCTCTCAGCTTTCAGAGCCTACTACTTAGATGCTGCCACTAGCTGTCCTAAGTTAAGCCCAGCAGTGCAAAGCCAGCTCATTGGTGGAGAGTGTCAGATGATCTCACTCACCCACTGAGCTAAACCCGGCACTAATGGGCTTAGCTCAGAGCTTCCGGCTGAGAGGAAGCTGCACAGTTGCAGGAAGTGGCACACGGCCCCTGACAAACGCCAGGCACAGTCAACCCATTGCTAAACTGTTTGAGTACTTACATGGAGGACACCAGGGTACCTCTAGCACTATAATCACTACAGCACAGTATAGAAGTTATGGCACTGTGAGTGTTCCTTTAAAATCACCTCCTGTAGTCTGCACAGGAACAACCAATTTTAAATGTAAAAGCAAAATCTCCCCAAAACGACACATTCATACATGAATATACATAATGCCTTGCAAAAGTATGCTGACCCTTTACCAATTCTCACATTATCCTGACTGTCTATATATTAACATTTTATGGTTTGTGTGCGCGATACTTTAGTTGTAAACATTTAAACTTAGAAAGTATATTTTTATACAAGATGACATTGGGTTTATGGTAAATATTTTGATGGAAAACAATAAAATTGTTGTTTTTAAAAACATTAATCCCCTCTGCCCTGGAAGCTTCTTAAGTTACACAGCTGGGAAAAAAAACAGAAAACATATCGTTAACCAACAATTGGAATCTCCTTCGAGACCAGTTAAAGTCCTAAACTCAATCCTATTAAGAAACATCAGCGAACAAGCTCCATCCAAACTGAATCACCTGGAGCAAATATGCCAAAACCAATAGGCAAAAATATCACCAAAAGAATGCCAAGATGGCAGGTAGCCGAAAGGCTTAAAGGAACACAAGTCACAACACAACCTTAATGCATTCGATTTGATGCCCTCGGCCTCAACATGAATACCTTCCAACTTTTCAATTGGACAGAGAGAAACACTATCATTTTAGGAGTTTGACTGGGAGTGTGGTCAAGGGTGTGGTTAATCAGAGACATTTTAGGTTACTTACAAATATTAATTTATGCAGCTAAACTTTAATTTAGAACTAAAACAATATATCTTAGTTAAACATACTGATTTGTAAACACATTTATTGTAGTTTAAAGACACATTACTGTGAGTATTATTGCTGTGGAGCGGTTATACACTCTGACACACCAACAATATGGAGCTCCAAGAAAAGAGAAACACTGGGGTAAAAAAGAGGGACAGAGCGTCCAAAATAGGGACACTTGGAATGTATGACTATGCTATATTTTTGCATGCTCAAATCCTTGTAGTTTTATCACAAAAATAACTTCTCCGCCAGTATGCCTTCCCTGCCAGAGACCTTTCTTATCATTATATACATCTCCGCCCCAACAGCACTGCTTTTAATTCACAACCTGGCTGCAGACAGAGAAACTACAAACAGGCAGTGATATCTTTACTATATGCCTTCCTGAGTGCCCTCTCCTTCTTATGTAGGTTATTTTGTAGTTTAGATCATTCAAGACCATCACTGGTTGAGCTGTCAAAACATTTGACAAGGAAGTGTTAAGGTTTTCTAGAATGAGGGGCGTGGCTTAGGTTTTGCAAAACATTTTTTTGTTCAAAAACTACAGAGATTTGAGCACCCATAAATAATACAGCCTATTATTCAAATGCATTAAAGTGGTCTTGATGAATGGCGCGTCCCTTTAACGATTCTACCTGCAAAACACAGCTTCACCAGATAGTAACATGATGGGATTGCAAGCAGCAGATTTCAGTATTTTCCTTCAGTATTTTTAAGTAATATCCTCCCCCCCCACCCCCCCACAATTGTACAGCGCTGAGGAATATGTTGGCACTTTAGAAAGTCCAGTAATAATAATAATTACACATTAATTCCTAATTTTGGCTTTAAAAATATACCCTTAGAACGAATGAGTTTGCAATAAAAAAGTTTTGGACATTTGTGAGTATGTATCATTTGTAATCCAGAAAGGAATGATTATTTTTAAGGGGTGCCAATACTTTTGCAAGGAAATTCCTATAACACACAGCTGCAGTGCTGTCCAGCTCACAAAGATGCTAGAGGCAACAATGTTAATAGTTCTTCTAATTAAGTTATCAATGTTGTAGAATTTACCATTTGTATTTTGCCCGATATATCAATTAAAGGGTTACTCCAACGGTTTCTTGTTTTAAATAAAAACTTAACTTGAATCCATCGCCAGGTCAAGTTCTCTCCAATCCTTTCCAAACCTTCCTCATCCTCACGCTGCATTATGCTTTTCTCATAGAGATGCATTGTTCGACCTTGGGCACATGTGCAGTAAGTGCGGGGAAAGTCAATCTGCTTCTTCTGATAAAGAAGTACTGGATTCAATTCTCTATCACTGCGCATGTGAGTGACTGCTCATCTCTCCACTAAAGCCAGTCTGTCTCGCAATTCTGGCAATCTGAGCAATGAGCCGGGGAGGGCTGGACAAGGAGAGTGAACTAAACAGGGGAGGAAAAGAGCATCCAATTTATAGAGGCTGGGAGGGCTGGACTGTGAAGGCTGAACAGAAGGAGGGGGATACATAGAGCAAGTGCTGTGTGTGCGCGCAAGTTCCATGCATGAGGTCCAACAGGCTTCTCCTTGCAGGAGTGCTGCCACAGAGGGAAGAAGCATATTACATCTGTCACCAGAGGGAACTTTATCCGGGCACAAATATACAGATTTCTCTGTCTAAGCAGAATTTCAAAAAGCAGAAGAGGTCATTGGTGTGTTGGAATAACCCTTTAGATAAATTTATAGTAAATATGGATGATTGTAACAATATTTGATTTGGACCCATCAGCATGGAGTAATACAGGAATTCATGTATTACCCGTTTGGTCTGTAGCCTTTAGTATGGTTACAGGATATTAGGCAAAGATTAAACTTCTCTACAGGCTGTATCTGCTGGACACCCAATGGGAGATATAATCATCCTCTCAAATGATATTACTCAATAATGGTGTCTTCCAACCCAAACACTATTTTAAATATAGTGCATACTGCTCTGTTAGTGTATATTATGTATATAAACGCTTCCTGAGAAAATTCATAACAAAAACACATCACCCCCTACAGCGAACAGCATTTGTTTCACAACGCATCTCAGAATACCTTTTCAATGGCTCATTGCATGCAACAATTATCTAGTAAAAAATAATAATATATATTATTCCGAATGTCTAGGATATGCTCACGATCTATTAAGAATAATTTGTTTTGGAGAGGTTTATGCACGGAGGATGGGAGAATTTTCTGATTTAGATATTTTTGAATTTTTTAAGTCCTTTGAAGATTACACGTTTAATGAACAAACCATAATGTTAAAACCCCTTCAATCACTTACCTGAATCCAGCGCCAATGTCCCTCGGCACTGGGTCAGACGCCACCCATGCTCCGAGACCTAACGCGCGTTAACCAACACTTTCCTATGGGGATTTCAGTGACGCTGGAGGTCCTCATGCATATCGTGAGGGTGTCCAGCGCCATTTAGACGTGGAGTTAATTAACCCTAGAGGTGGAGTTAATTAACCCTGAGAGGTAATTATTGCAGTTTCCTAGAAACTGCTATAATTACCACTGTAGGGTTAAGGGAAATTGCACTAAGACCACTTCAATGAGCTGAAGTGGTCTGTGTGCCTATAGTGTCCCTTTAACACCACATATCCAAGTTAGATTAAAGTATTTAATGGAGCTACCCACTATTTAACAATTCTGCAATAGACACATTCTGTTAGTTCCTTCCTTCCTTGATATCCATATCTGCGTCTTGGTAGAAAAACAATGCAATAGTCGATGTAACATAAATTGAGAGCGAACACTCTTCCAGGACATGAAAAAAATGAATTTGATCCCTTCATAGAGTATACTTAGAATAAGGTCTAGACAAAGTGCTGCACTACTATGTACAGGGATGACACAGGTAAAAAGGTTACTTGTGCTGAATTCCTATATATAAATAGCTAGAAATAAAGACTATCTGGAATTTAGGTTTATGGAGAATAAACCCATCTGAAAGTTACAGTTCTGTGAACCGTAAGATTAAACATTCAAGTGAAGGGATGTAACACGTAACATGTAAACATTCAAGGATAAGAACCATATTGATGAATCCTGATTATCTGGAGCAAAGAAGCTTGGCGGTGTTCGAGTCAGCTTTGCAACCAATTACAGGTGTTACAGACTCCTTCACCAACAGATGCTCTATAAAGAAACCTGGGCGAAATCCTTTGGTGCCCGGAATGTTGGTTGCTATAGGGAATGAGACCTGTTTGTACATCGAACATGAAGCGTTACGGTCTGCACTGCTTATTAAACAGCCGTGTGTACAGGAGTAGCGGAATGCGAAGGGGACGACCCCCGGTCTGATGAAGAGGACACAGATCGAGTTGCAGCTTCTCTCTGAAGTTCCTCCAGCTTCTTCTGCAGTTCTGCTCTTATGGACAGGAGATCCTTAAGGTTCTGATGAATTGGCATCTGAAAGTATAAAACAGATGTGTCATTTGTGTGTTATTACAGCTTTAATTATTTGATATGAATTTTAACGGTTTCAGCAAAAGCATTTAAAAGAGCGTGAAAAGAAACGCACACAACTGTTACATTATTACGGTTTATTTCAGAGAGAAAGCTCCATGTAGAAACAAGGGAACATGAACACACGTTAGCAATCCAATTTAGATTGTGAATGCTTTAATGATAGGTTACCTTATTTATTGGATACCAAAACAACTTTGCATTTCTAGATGATAATTTGCATAAAATTATAGGCTTTGGACTAGAGTATTCAATTGCCTCCTTTGTGTGGTGCAATGTTAATCTCCACAGGTCTCCTAAAAACATTTCAATATAGATAAACAGTGTATGTGCTGCCAAAGCTAAATATTTGATAGTACCAAATGTTTACTGCAGGGTTTCCCGACCTGCTACATGTACACAGAAGCACTTCTCAATAGGGTGAGATGATAGTACAAAGCCAATTTTAATTCAGATAATAATTAGAAAGAAATTGTTGGTAGAAGCTTGAAGGGACACTAAGCACAAACACAACTTTAGCATAAAGAGACACTATAGTAACCAAAACAACTTTATCTTCTTGAAGTGGTTTCGGTGTACAGATCATGCTCATGCAGTCGCACTGCTCAGTTTTAGCAGTTAGATCACTTTGTTTATACAGCCCTAGTTACACCTCCTTGCATATACAGGGAGTGCAGAATTATTAGGCAAGTTGTATTTTTGAGGATTAATTTTATTATTGAACAACAACCATGTTCTCAATGAACCCAAAAAACTCATTAATATCAAAGCTGAATATTTTTGGAAGTAGTTTTTAGTTTGTTTTTAGTTATAGCTATGTTAGGGAGATATCTGTGTGTGCAGGTGACTATTACTGTGCATAATTATTAGGCAACTTAACAAAAACAAATATATACCCATTTCAATTATTTATTATTACCAGTGAAACCAATATAACATCTCAACATTCACAAATATACATTTCTGACATTCAAAAACAAAACAAAAACAAATCAGTGACCAATATAGCCACCTTTCTTTGCAAGGACACTCAAAAGCCTGCCATCCATGGATTCTGTCAGTGTTTTGATCTGTTCACCATCAACATTGCGTGCAGCAGCAACCACAGCCTCCCAGACACTGTTCAGAGAGGTGTACTGTTTTCCCTCCTTGTAAATCTCACATTTGATGATGGACCACAGGTTCTCAATGGGGTTCAGATCAGGTGAACAAGGAGGCCATGTCATTAGATTTTCTTCTTTTATACCCTTTCTTGCCAGCCACGCTGTGGAGTACTTGGACGCGTGTGATGGAGCATTGTCCTGCATGAAAATCATGTTTTTCTTGAAGGATGCAGACTTCTTCCTGTACCACTGCTTGAAGAAGGTGTCTTCCAGGAACTGGCAGTAGGACTGGGAGTTGAGCTTGACTCCATCCTCAACCCGAAAAGGCCCCACAAGCTCATCTTTGATGATGCCAGCCCAAACCAGTACTCCACCTCCACCTTGCTGGCGTCTGAGTCGGACTGGAGCTCTCTGCCCTTTACCAATCCAGCCACGGGCCCATCCATCTGGCCCATCAAGACTCACTCTCATTTCATCAGTCCATAAAACCTTAGAAAAATCAGTCTTGAGATATTTCTTGGCCCAGTCTTGACGTTTCAGCTTGTGTGTCTTGTTCAGTGGTGGTCGTCTTTCAGCCTTTCTTACCTTGGCCATGTCTCTGAGTATTGCACACCTTGTGCTTTTGGGCACTCCAGTGATGTTGCAGCTCTGAAATATGGCCAAACTGGTGGCAAGTGGCATCGTGGCAGCTGCACGCTTGACTTTTCTCAGTTCATGGGCAGTTATTTTGCGCCTTGGTTTTTCCACACGCTTCTTGCGACCCTGTTGACTATTTTGAATGAAACGCTTGATTGTTCGATGATCACGCTTCAGAAGCTTTGCAATTTTAAGAGTGCTGCATCCCTCTGCAAGATATCTCACTATTTTTGACTTTTCTGAGCCTGTCAAGTCCTTCTTTTGACCCATTTTGCCAAAGGAAAGGAAGTTGCCTAATAATTATGCACACCTGATATAGGGTGTTGATGTCATTAGACCACACCCCTTCTCATTACAGAGATGCACATCACCTAATATGCTTAATTGGTAGTAGACTTTCGAGCCTATACAGCTTGGAGTAAGACAACATGCATAAAGAGGATGATGTGGTCAAAATACTCATTTGCCTAATAATTCTGCACTCCCTGTAATGTGCACAGCCTTCCTAAACACTTCCTGAAAATTGAGATCTAATGTTAAACATCCCTTATTGCACGGTCTGTTTAATTGAGAATTACTCACCTCCTGCTCTGTCAATATCCTGCTAGACCCTGCAGGAGCCTCCTGTGTGTGGTTAAAAGTCAATTACAGAGCAGGAGATACAACCTTCTAAAGTTAGTTAATATCTCATTGAAAATTAAAACCATTTTTTCATGCAGGCTGTGTCAGTCACAGCTAGGGGAGGTTTGGCTAGGACTGCATAAACAGAAACAAAAGTAATTTGACTCCTAAATGGAAGATAATTGAGCAGTGAGACTGCAGAGGCATGGTCTATACACTAAACAGCTTCATTGAGTTGATACCCTTATTTAAGTGGTTTTGGTGTACAGGTCTCTCTGATCAATTCTCTGTCATTTTAGAGTTAAATCGCGGTTTATACAGTCCTAGAGACTTTCACCGCCTCCCTACACATGTTTTGGAAAAGATTATTCATTTTGTTTTTGCATCCATTATTGCACACTTATAATTTCTTAATTCCTGCTCTGTTAATAGCCTGCAAGAGACTCCGGTGTGTGATTAAAGTCAAATGAACAGAGCAGGAAATAAAAACTTCTAAAGTAAACACACATTGCTGTAAGATCTGATTTAAAATGAGACCATTGTTTCCATGCAGGCTGCGTTAGTCACAGCCAGTAGAGGTAAGGCTATGGCTGCATAAACCATGATTTAACTCCCACATGACAGAATTAAGGAGTTTGCAGGGGCATGTTTTATACATAAAAAGCACCTCGTTAAGCTAAATTTAATTTAGGGGGCCTATACTATCCCTTCCAAAATGCTGGTTTTGGAGTTCTTCAGCAGATCAAAGACCATTATGGAAATAAAGGTTACAGTCTGCTTGAACCACAACTTAATGAAGCTTTGACATGTAGAGATTGCAGATATAATGAACAGTTTACAATGATTATAGCTATTGCCCTACATAATACATTTGAAAAGGGTATGCATGTCTTATTTGCACATTTCTTATCACACGACCATGTAAATACTGCCTTGGAAGGTTAAACTGTTACTTGTACCATAGTGCGAATAGCAGATCTGCATTCCTTGTATATACTCTACTAATCTACATATCACAAGAGGTCAGGTATAGACTGTAGACTTATAGGTGTTAATTAAAATAACATGATATTAAGTATATTGTTCTTGATCACGCCTGTACAGTACGATAAACCTGTAGTCTCTGAACACGTTTCAGCATCCCCAGTTATAAGCCCATTACAGACAATGACGCATTGTGTATGTTAAGATAGAATGGGGTTTCCCTATGTCCTTGGCATAAAGGGGTTATGGCAGTACTGCAGACTAAGCAGTCACAAGTCACACTGTGTAGCTGAATCTCAGAGCTGTGGTTGCCATCCTTAGGGATGTCAAGTGTTTTGCAGGACATGTCCCATGATACACTTTGTACAGCGCTATGGAATTTGCTGGAGCTATATAAATAATAAAAAAATAATACCCAGGCAGTTGCGGTCAGTGCTGTTATATATTCAACACACAAACAATTTAGAGAAAAGAGATAAACAGCCTTATTCCCTAAAGTGAGAATTATCTGGAATTCAAAGTGAAATTCAAGGTCAAACTACCCAAAACTGGAAGCATACCTGAGAATTTTTATCATTCTGTTAGAGACGTGGCTATTCACATACTTTGCATTGAGGATTTGAATGCATTTCTCCTTGGCTATACTACAAAACACCAGGTGCAGGTTCTTCTGATATCAAATTGGTTACAATAAGCATTAAAACAAAGAACTGAAATGAAAACCAAATTGCAACATCCAGGCAAAAACTGCTGATTTGTAAAAAAAAAAAAAAAAAAAGTCTATAACTCTTCTATAAGTACAGTTTGGCTATTTCTGTAGGAAACAAAAATTAAATTATTATTATTTTTTTTTAATAGTGTATACCGATACCAAATCAGGATTTTTTAATTTTTTTACTTATGGATCAGAAAGAAGGGGAAAAATTGTGCAATCCTTTTAATTGCTTCCACGATTTACAGTCCCCAAATACTCTCCCTGTCAAATGTTGTGTGTGATAAATGTGGGAGGGAGGCACATGCCATTCTACGCTACACAATTAGTAGTACCCTGTATAAAAATAAATTAAAAAACAAGGCGTGGCAATTTCAAATCTCATATTGTGGCAAACTGCTTTATTATCCAGCAATAACAACAATAATAATAAAAAAAAAAAAAAAAAACTTCTACACAGTCCTGAAATGATCCATAAGTAAAACCAGGAGAATGGGGGCAGGGAGGTTTGAAAGGATGCTTACATGAATTGCTAAACAAAGGCTTTTGCTGTTTACTGAATGTGTGCAGGGATGTATAATGCACTGAGCGTTAGTGTTTCAAGGACACGCATTACCTTGAAATTGTTAAGTGATGAATCTATTTGTCCTCGCTGAATGAGTCTTTTTCATCTTTTTTGCTACGGCAAGTCTAGGCAGAAAAGCTACTGTATTTTAATGCCATTGTGTGATCTGAGCTACATCACACTGCCATTTATTCTCATTTATCTGCTAAGACACATTTCCTTCAAGACTCAAAGCCATTCCTTTTTTTGTGGCTCAGTAATTATTTTTATTTGAGAAAAATAAACAAATAAAAAGCATTCAATCTGGCTGGATTAAAAAAAAAAA